CTCCCCTCAACAGTGTATTTCGGTCAGTCTGCCTGTTCTGTTCCCCGCTCTGTCTCTGATGAATCCTCTCACCCTCCCACACGTCTGGCCTGTACCCCAGTTCTTGTATAAATAAATAAAATCTTTTTAAAGAAAAAAAAAGTTGAACCTTCACCTTCCCTTTTCACCTTCCTCCAAACTGGATGGGTTTCTACTACTCATAACTAAAATACTTAAAACTAATATATTACCTAGTTTAGACTTCTAACTTTACAGGAGAAGAAACAGAAGTCCAGGGATGATAAATGACCCATTTTCAGTGACAGTTATAACTAAAACTCAGCTTCTTCTACTTGGGGAATTTTTCTCCAGGTTATAGTTAGTGATTTGTAACTAGCTCTTTTTTTTTTTTTTTAAGATTTATTTATGCATACAAGAGTTGGGGTACAGGCCAGAGGCACGGGGTGTGGGCAGTGAGACAGAGTGGGAAATAGAACAGGCAGATTGACAAAAGTACACTGCTGAGGGGAGCAGTGGCCAAACCAGGAGAGGTCTGCTGCGCCATGTGGGTTGCTCCCTGGCTGGCCAGGAATCGAACTTATGCTGGAGTGGCTGTGGATAGCTTCATAGGTTGTGTCTTAATCCTTGCGCAACACATCTTGACTCTTGCACCACCAGGAAGGCCCCTGTAACTAGCTCTTTTCTACTGGGCTTGCCCCTTCTTCTGGTCTGTATAGGTAACAATTGCACCTGGGATAGTTACTTTCTTCTGGTCAAGCAGTATGGCTAATTATGGGAAAGCTTTATTTGGAGTAGTAGACTGTGCGCACTGTCCAGATGTCTTTGAGGAGACATTCATTTCTCTATCTCCTGGCAGTGGGGGGAACTCACTCTTGCAGATGTACAGCTACTGTTCTAAGGTTTTCTCTCTCTTTTTCTTTTATTTTATATATATTTTAGATCATTGCCTTTTCTCTTTCATGTCTTCAGTGAATGTTGATGCCAGGGAACAAAACCCAGTGCCCTTGCATCAATTCAGCCACTTTGAAGGCCAATTTAATTTAGCTCGAGACTTCCTCTGCAGCTGTATCAGAGTTCAACAACTCCCCCTGCCCAATCTTACCTCACTCCCTCACACGAGATATTCCCTAGAACATTCAAATCTCCTATATTTAAGTCTCTTCCTCAGACTTTCTCTGGGAATCTGATCTAAGACAGTAGCCCTTTCTTTCTGTTGCCAGAGCAAAAGATAAGAGGATAATAAAAAGCAACATCAAGCACTTTGTGGCAAAAAGCTCAAGATCCGCCATAGCTCTGCCTCACAAACAAAAGCTTGTTTTTTTCCATTCATTCAAATTTATATTTTGAAATGTTGTTAGATGTGAGTCACCTTGTACTTGTATGCTTCTGTGAGGGATTAAAAGTACATCATCTTGTATATTCATTATATTTTACAAACCACTTTCTAATAAATTACTTTGATGTTCTTAAAACCATTTAATCCCAGCAGCACTAATTACACTGTAATTGCTGACTTCCTTAAGGTATACCCTATGGGACGGTCTTGTCTGGATCTCTAGCACCTCTCTCTGAGGTTGACTTTTGTCAAATATTCAGTTAATGTTGGCTGAATAAATGGAATGATGCATTCAGTTGAAATTAGGACAAAGATCATAGGAGGGAAAAAAATCCTAAATTGACATTTCATTGAATAAGAATTTTTATACTCATAAATTTAAGATATTAACATTGGATTGTCAGAAAGACATTTTAGAAACATTTTTCTCCCCCTGAAATAAACAGTATTTAGAATGCTGAATTTGGTAACATGTGGATTAAGCTAAAACAGAACCATTTTCCCAACAAAATCCTAAATAAAAAATTTTCAACTTTTACTCTGAAAACTTTCAAAGTCAGAGAAAATAGGTTTATTTTTAAGCTCTCTTTTCTCACTGCTATAATTTTTCAGTTCTTTCAATAAAATGCTGTTAGCTGTGAAGTTTTACTGAGTTGTAAGTGGCATATTATTAAAAGTTCTTTCTAAATGTGTATTGCACATAGAAAATAAAGACGCCAATTACATTTTGAGTCAAAAAAAAAAAAAGTTCCTTCTATATTTTAGACAGAAGTTCTTTACTAGTTCATGGTTTGTAAATATTTTGTCCCAATCTGTGTAGCTCATCTTTTCATTCTCTCTTATTTTTTTTTTTAAAGATTTATTTATACAAGAACTGGGGCACAGCCCAGATGCACAGGAGGGTAAGAGGATTCAACAGAGACAGAGCGGGGAACAGAACAGGCAGACTGACGGGAGGGGAGCAGCGGGTACGACAGGAGAGGTCTGCCGCGCCATGTGGAACCCTCGCCCACCGGCCGGGATCAAACTGGCACTGCAGAGGTTGCGGACAGCTTCACAGCGCTGCGCTTAACCGCCTGTGCCACCAGGGGAGGCCCGTCTTATTCTTTTTTTAAGATTTATTTTTATTTATTGATGTCTTTAAGAACTGGGGTATAGGGCCTCCCCAGTGGCGCAGCGGTTGAGCGCTGGGTTGCGAAGCTGCCCGCAGCCTCTGCAGTGCCAGTTCAATCCCCAGCTGCTCCACGGCCACCGAAGGAGGGTCCCACATGGCGCGCAGACCTCTCCTGCCGCCCGCTGCTCCCCTCAGCAGTGTACTTCGGTCCTTCTGCCTGTTCTGTTCCCCGCTCTGGCTCTGGTGAGTTCTCTCACCCTCCCATGCTTCTGACTGTACCCAGTGCTTGTATAAATAAATAAATAAATAAATAAATAAATAAATAAAAAATCTTTAAAAAAAAAAAAAAGAACTGGGGTATAGGCCAGAGATGTGGGGGGTGAGAAGATTCACCAGAGACAGAGTGGGGAACAGAACAGGTGGATCTACTGAAATATACTGCTGAGGGGAGCAGCAGGCAAGACAGGAAAAGTCTGTTGTGCCATGTGGTTTAGCTCTGTGGTCTGCGATCAAACTAGCTGCTAGCTTGATAGTAATGAGACTTTAACCCCTGCGCCACCAGAGAGGCCCTGTCTTTTCATTCTCTTAATAGTTACTTTTATAAAGCAAAGGTTTTCAATTTTGATACAGTTCAGGTTGCTATTTTTTTTTCCTTTTGTGTATTGCATTGTTGGTGTCATGTCTAAGAATCTTTGCCTAACCTAAAGTCACAGATTTTCTCCTGTTACTTCAAGAAGTTTTACAATTTTAGACTTTACATTTAGGACTATTTATCAATATTTTTTTAAAAAGATTTATTTATATAATCACTGGGTACAGTCAGAAGCACGGAAGGGTGACAGAATTCACCAGAGCCAGAGCGGGGAACAGAATAGGCAGACTGACGAAATACACTGCTGAGGGGAGAAGCGGGCGCAGCAGGAGAGGTCTGTCGAGCCATGTGGTACCCTCGCTGGTGAACGGGATCGAACTGGCACTGCAGAGGCTGCAGGCAGCTTTGCAGGCCAGCGCTCAACCACTGTGCCACCAGGGGAGGCCCTGATTATCAATTTTGAGTAAATTTTTTGCATATGGTATGAGATATGGATCAAAGCTCACTTTTATGCATAATCTAATATAAAGGACTGCTCTCTTTTGTCATAGCTGATTTAGCTATTTATGAATTTTTATTATTCCTCATTGATTTTTTAAAAAGATTTTATTTATTTATTTATTTATTTATTTATTTATTTATTTATTTATTATTTATACAAGCACTGGGTACAGTCAGAAGTGCGGGAGGGTGAGAGAATTCACCAGAGCCAGAGAGGGGAGCAGAGCAGGCAGAAGGACCAAAGTACACTGCTGAGGGGAGCAGCAGGCGGCAGGAGAGGTCTGCGCGCCATGTGGGACCCTCCTTCGGTGGCCGTGGAGCAGCTGGGGATTGAACTGGCACTGCAGAGGCTGCGGGCAGCTTTGCAACCCAGTGCTCAACCGCTGCGCCACTGGGGAGGCCCTTTTTTAATTTTTAAAAAAGATTTAATTATTTATTTATGCATACAAGGGCTGGGGTACAGGCCAGAGATGTAGGGGGGTGAAAGGATTCACCAGAGACAGAGTGAGGAGCAGAACAGACAGACGGACTGAAATACACTGCTTAGGGGAGCAGCAGGAGAGACAGAAGAGGTCTGCTGTGCCATGTGGGTTGCTCCCTGGCTGGACAGGGATGGAACTTATGTTGCAATGGCTGCAGATTGCTTCATAGTGTGGTGCTTAATCCCCTCTGCCACCAGGGAGGTCCTCTAGATCAATTTAGAATCAACATGAGGATAAAATTTCTCCAACTGTCTCACTGAAAACTTTTGCTTAAGTCACTGAAAGCAACCATGTTGCAAAATCCTACTGGAACTTTAATTGTGTTGCAATACAAGCACTCCCTTTCAATGAAACACTTTTTCCACTTGGCTTCTAGTACCCCAGGACACAATACCAGAACATTTTCATCTCCATATATAATCAATTTTTTGGTGATTTCATCCAATTTCATTACTTTAAGTATTTTATATAAGCTAATAACTACCGAATTTTTATCTCTAGCTCAGGCCACTTGCCGAACTCCAGATATTATATTCAATATCTTATTGGCATCTCCACTTATAACAAGCCTATATCTCAATTAATATATGTCCAAAAACACGGGCCTCCCTGGTGGCACGGGGGTTAAGTCTCAGCACCCTCAAGCTATCAGTGGCCACTGCAGCATGAGTTAAGTCCCCGGCCAGGCACAGCAGACCTCTCTCCTGTCTTACCTGCTGCTCCCCTCAGCAGTATATCTCAGTCGATCCACCTGTTCTGCTCCTCACTCTGTCTCTGGTGAATCCTCTTAACCCCCACACCTCTGGCCTACACCCCAGCTCTTGTATGCATAAATAAAATAAATCTTAAAAGATAAAGTCCAAAAACTGAATTCCTGATCTTTCTTCACAAACCAAGTCTGTTTTCACCATTGCAACTGATGGCAATAATCTCTCTCCTGCTGCTCAGGCCAGAACCCTTAGGAATTATTCCTGACTTTTCTTTTTGTCTTATTTTAAATCCATCAGGAAAACCATGAGTTCTATCAATTTGCTACTTTTCACCACCTTCACTGTTGCCACTTTGGTATAAGGCACTATCATTACTTATCTGGATTAATGCAGGCCCCTTCAAATTTGTATCTCTTCATTCACCATGGCCCTCAAAATAGCATGATGTCATTAAAACTTAAAATCAGATCATATCATTCCTCTACTTAAAAACATCTAATGGCTCTGCATTTCACTCAGGGCAAAAACCACAGTCCTTATAAGAGTTCACATAGCCTGGCAACCAGCCCCCTCCTTCTACCTACTACTCTCCCTCTAAATCACTTTGCTCCTGTCATCTGGTTTTCTTCAAATGTAGTAGGTATGATCCTGTCTCAGGAGTACTGCACGAACAATTTGTTTGGCATGAAATTTCTTCCCTTATATGTCTGCATGGTTAGATCGCTCACATCCTTGTCTTTGTTCAACTATCACTTTCTTCATAAGATCTTCTCTGATCACAGCATTTAATATTGCAAAACCTCATCCATGTAGTTTTCCTTTCTCCCTTTCCTTTCTTATCTTTCTCTACATTACCCAACACCTTTTAATTTACTTTTTAACCTTGTTTATTGCCTCTCACTTTCAAGGGTAAGTTCCCTCAAGGCAGTGAATTAAGAGTCCAATAGGAAATGGATGACAGACTTAAATAATTTGTAGATTTATTTACAAAACCATGGGTGTAAACAGTAGCAGATGAGCTGTTGCAAACCAAACTTGAGAAAAGGCAGCCTTTTCTGAAACTAGAAGGAAAGAATGATACACAAATCACCTTGAAAGAACTGGGAGAGGGACACTGCCAGCCTGAGGCAACCTCTCAGGGGCAGAGCCAGGGAAATAATTAGCTGAATACCTGCCTTTACTCTCCTCCTTCCTTTGCTTTCCTGCCAGGGTTTCCCATTGTCTGGAACAACTAAGAGCCAGGTTTACAGGAACCATTTGAGCTGGTTCATATAGGATAGGCTACTCAGAGAAGGCTGCGTAGGGTCCAGAAGGCTGAGAGTGGATCTAAAATGACAAACATAAGATTATGCACATTTTTATTTCTTTGTTTCATGGTTGTATTATTCAAAAAAAAAAAAAAGAGGGCATGAACAATTATTATGTTAACTGTGACTCAAATGATGAGTAAACAAGAAATGAGAATGGACCTTTGAACCTACCAAGTGGTGATCACTAGTAACAGGGACAAGAAGTGTTTCAGTGTAGTTGATGGGATTAAATCCTGATTGGGGATTTAGAAAGGATGGAGATATAAGTGGAGGCACCGAGTACAGAAACCTCTTAATACAAAAGAATGGGAGATGAGAAAAGGTGCTAAAATTGAAGGGGGGTGGTTAAAGAAAGTTTTTTCTTTTAAGAAGGAAAACATTTCGGCATGTTAAATGCTGTTGAAAATAATCTTGTGGAGAAAGGAAAAATCAGATTTGGCAGAAAAAAGGAATAATTTGTAGGAGCAAAGTCCCTGAGCTGAAAGGATTAGATGATTCCAATTATAGAACTTGGGATATGACTAAAGTTGCTTTATATGTCAGCAGGAAAAGGATGCACTATTCAATAAATGATGCTGGGGAAAATTGTTTTTCCCATAAAAAAATGGTAAAATTAGATGCCCCCATCATATCATAAATAAAAAATGAATTCTAATCAACAAACAACTATGAACCAGAGACACACTTGGGGGGGGGGGAAGAGGGATTGAGGTCAAAATCAGGGGGTTGCAATTGTATGGGGAATATAAAAATAAAAATTAAAAAAAATGAATTCCAGATGGTGTAAAAACATGAACATAAAAAGCAAAATTTCTACATTCAGAGGAAAATGTATTAGAACATCATTATAATGTTGGAGTAGAAAACTACAAAATCAAAAGTGAAAAGGTACAAAATCAAAAGTGAAAAAGGAAAGGATTTTTAAAAATGGATATACTAAAATGACTTTTTATACTACAGGTTTATCACAAACAGAGTTAAAAGACATGTTACAGGCCTCACTGGTGGCGCAAGGGGTTAAGCACCGCACTATGAAGCAGTCCGCAGCCTTGCAGCCCAATCCAATCCTGGGCCGGCCAGGGAAAAACCACATGGCAAAGTAGACCTCTCCTGTCTCGCCCACTGCCCCCCTCAGCAATGTGTTTCGGTCAGTCTGCCTGTTCTGTTCCCCACTCTGTCTCTGGTGGATCCTCTTACCCCCCACATCTCTGTGCCCGTGCCCCAGCTCTTGTATGCATAAATGAATAAATCTTAAAAAAAAAAAAAAAGACATTTACATACTGGAAGAAGACATTCGTATCACAGAAAACCAACACAGGATTAGTAGCAAGGATATGTAAAGGATAAGTAAGAAGAAGTCCACAACTCAACAGAGAAAAGTAGAAAAGGGATATGAACAAAATTCATAATGGAAAACCATGATGACCAATAAATAGGAGAAAAGGATCAATCTACCTCACCAATAATCAGAAATGTGATGTTATTTTGTATACATCTGCTTGACAAAAATAAGAACAGTTATAAATAATAGAAACAGTGAGGGTGTGGAGGATGAGATTTCTCACACACTACTGATTGGAGTGTAAACTGGCACAGCCAGAACAATTGAAAAATTCCTGGAAGAGGGGGCCTCCTTGGTGGTGTAGGGGTTAAGTCTCAGCACTATTACCAATCCCGGGCAGGGAGCTAGAATACCACATAAAGTGCAGCAGACTTCTCCTATTTCACCTGCCGCTTCCCTTAGCAGTATATTTCAGCAGATCTGCCTGTTCTGTTCCCCATGCTGTCTCTAATGAATCCTTCTCACCCCCAACACCTCTGGCCTATATCCCAGTTCTTCTATGCATAAATAAATCTTTAAAAAAAATTCCTGGAAGAGTTGAATATATACATATGTTGGGATTTAACAGTTCTCCTTCTTGGTATATATCCAGATAATTTTTTATACAGGTTCAAGAATCCATGTGCTAGTGTTTTCAGTAAATTGGTTTACAATATCAAAAAATCAAAGAGTACGATTGTTCATCAAGATATTTGTACATATATTTGAGTTTATACTACCTGGATAAACAAACTAGTTTATTCTTACAATGAAATTAAACAAAATAAACGATCTATATATTCATGCAACAATATAGACAGATACATCTCTAAAACCTAATCGTGACGAATTTACGTAAGGAGCTTGATGCTATTCATTTACACTTCAAAAGCACAAAACAGTACTACATATTGTTTGTAAAAACATACACATTTGGTGAAAGTATACAAACAAGTATGGGAATGATGTCCACCAACTTTAAAACAGTGGTTACCTCTAAAGTGAGATAGGAGTAAGGAAAAGGAGATGTAACTTTAGCTTTGCAAGATTTTATAACTTAACAGGAAGATCTTTAAACAAAAGTGGCAAAATGTAACATTTGTCAACAGCAAGAATTTGGTTCATGAATATCTGCTATATCATGCTACAGTGGCTGGCAATAGCTTGATAGTGCTAATCCCTGCGGCACAAGGGAAGTCCCATAGAAGCAGTTTTTATATCATTACATAGGTTATAAATATTATTTATAATTTCTTGCACAAAATGTAAAGCTTTATATTTTTATGTAGATATAACTGTCAATCTGTTGGGATTTTGATACAGTAAGTTTTAAGTAACTGCTATCGCTACAATTTCAATTTCCTCATCTAGAAACATAGTATGGGGCCTCCCTGGTGGCCTATAGGTTAAGTCTTAGTGCTGTCACTGCTATGGCCTGAGTTTGATCCCCAGCTAACCCACATATGGTGCAGCAGACCTCTCCTATCTCACCTGCTGCTCCCCTCAGCAGTGTATTACAGTAAATTTGCCTATTGTGCTCCCTACTCTGTCTCTGGTGAATCCTCTCACCCCTGCACCTCTGGCCTATATCCCAGTTCTTGTATCCATAAATAAACACAATAATTCTTTAAAAAAAAAAAGTCTGTTCTGCTTTATAGTTTTGTTTACTATTGTAAATAGGATCATTTCCCCCATTTTATTTCTGATTGGTTATATAGCTGATAGAACATTAAAATCAATTTTGTTGTTATCTAGTTTTGCTTTAGAAAACACTTACATAAGAACTGAATTTTTATTTCTTTGTTGACCTATGGCTTTGTGTTTATAGTTAAATAATTTGTTAACAAGCATAGGGATTCTAACTATTCTCATTATCATTAGTTTTTGGACATAGTACTGATGCTAAGATAGGCAACTATGGCAAGACAAGAATCAACTTAAACACAATTTAACTCAAATTGTAATATTCTGAACTACATGTTATCCAAACTATCTGTCATATTATCCAAAATATCTGTCACATTCCTCTAACCTTCAACTCTTTTTTTTTTTTTTTAATTTTCTTCAAGGACTTTTTTTTTTAAAGATTTATTTATTTATTTATACAAGCAGTGGGTACAGTCAGAAGCATGGGAGGGTGAGAGAATTCACCAGAGCCAGAGCGGGGAGCAGAGCAGGCAGAAGGACAAAGGTACACTGCTGAGGGGAGCAGCGGGCGGCAGGAGAGGTCTGCGCGCCATGTGGGACCCTCCTCTGGTGGCCGGGGAGCAGCCGGGGATCGAACCGGCGCTGCAGAGGCTGCAGGCAGCTTCGCAACCCAGCGCTCAACCGCTGCGCCACCGGGGAGGCCCTAACCTTCAACTCTTCAGTGACGGACTCTTCCCTACACAAAATCAACAAAAATTTGATTTTCCTACCATATAACCCTTCTAACTTCTGCCAGAAGATTGTTTTGCAAAGTTCTACTAGATTTTTGAGTTTCAATATCTGTACTAAGAATTTATACAGTCTACTTCCACTGAATTTCAACAGTCAAAGTGAAATGTTAGATTTGAGCAGTTTCCTTTGGGAACATGGAAAACACCCCTCCCTCCCATTAAAAGATTAAATGTTGATGTTGTACAGAGAAGTTAGGTATGTGGATAATCATCATTCTCAAAATTTTTATAAAAAGATTACAAAATAAACCCTATATAGATGTAGTAGTTCATGCTCTAGAAGAATGACTTTCACCCTTTGTTTTGCAAATGACTAAGAACTTACGAATTATTTTAAGTGATTACGTAAAATCATTAACTAAGGGCTTCCCTGGTGGCGCAAGGGGTTAAGTCTCAGCACTATAAAGCTATCAGCAGCCACTGGAGAATAAGTTCTATCCTGCCCAGGAAGCCAACACAGCAGACCTTTCCTGTCTCTCCTACTGCTCCCCTCAACAGTGTATTTCAGTAAATCTGCCTGTTCTGCTTCCCACTCTGTCTCTGGTGAATCTTCTCCCACCCTGTACCTCTGGCCTACATCCCAGTTCTTGTATGCATAAATAAATAAAAATTTTGAAATATGAATGCTATATAGGGATAGGTGCCAAATTTTTCAGAATTTCGTGACTATCTAGCCTGTTGTTGATATTATATAGGAACTTAAGTTTTAAGGCACAAAAATATAATTATAGATATATATATACACATATAGAAATAGATTAGATATCTTAAAGACAATCTTTAAGTCACTAGTTTTGATAAAATAAACACGTGAATTACAAACTTCTGTTACTTGTTCCTACTGATAATTATTTTGTAAAGAAATGAAATTTGGTGATATATTTAAATTAATGTAAACAAAGAATGCTATAAGGGAATTTAGGTTAAGGAAAAAAAGCTGAGAATTTAAAATGTATTCAATGATACTGAAACAATGAAAATATATATTAAATTTAAACTATGTCAATGAATTTTCTTCCAAATATTTAATGTATTTACTAAAATAAGAGCAAGTCAGAGAATTTACACAATTATTGAATTTTAGCATTTTCTTATAAGAGCAAATATCACATTTCAAACAGCTTTTATTTTTATCTAGGTATAATTTCTACAGAGAACAAGAAACATGCATGGGAGATAAAAAACTATGTAGCAAATCTTCTGATATGTATAATACATTTTATAACTACTAACTAATTTTAAAAGTTTTAGTCTCTGGCTTAATAGTTAACTGTACTATGTTTAAATAAATTTTGACACATGCTTGAGTTCCTAATGTTAAATTATTTTTATTTTTTTTTTAAGGATTTATTTATTTATGCATACAAGAACTGGGATGGGGGTGGTGGTGGTGAGAGGATTCACCAGAGACAGAGTGGAGAGCAGAATAGTCCACTATTGAGGAGAGTAGCGGACGAGACAGGAGATGTCTGCTGTGCAATGTGGGTCAGCTCCCTGGCTGGGTATCGAACTCATGCCGCAGTGGCTCTGGTGATACCTTGATAGCACTGAGACTTAACCCCTGAGCCACCAGGGAGGCCTTTAAATGATTTTTAAAGGACATTTTATATCCAGTAGGGATATACTAATGTTTCTCCAAACAAAGCTTGCATTTAGAGTATTATAAAAATTATAAACCCTGTGTCATCATCAAATGGTAGAATTGATCAATGAATGGGAGATGACAGACTGCTTACTGAGAAATCAGAATGGCAAAGATTCACAGATAAGAGAGAAACAAGAAGGTATTAAATATAATTTTATAGTTCCTAGCATTAGATGGTACAATACCAACCTGTTTAGTGATACTGCAAATCTCATCAGGGATGGGACTTATGAAAGAAGTAAAACCATTTATGTTTCTTTGTTTAAAATAAAGAGAATACATATATTATACTTGGACAATAATGTGTATCTGTAGTCTAAGTACAGCCAATTCTACTGGGGCTATATCATAAAGTTTGATCAAGGGTCACTGTTTTAAAAAAAAAAAAATTAGGCTTTCTTTATTCCACAGTGAGCCTAGGCAATTTTGATATTTTAATCATTTATCTTCAGAAAATTGATTTAAAAATGGTTTAATAGGAACATAGAGATACTTTCTATCTCTAAAAGAAAACTGTATAATTGTTAGCTACTGAAATATTTTTATAGTTTTAGGAAACAAAGGCTACCTTCAGTGGAAAATTGGCATATACTGATTTTTTTCAACAATTTAATGTTTTGGAAACTAACTACCAACTTTATCTAATAACTTTAATTTTATTCACTTCACATGGGAGGGAAAATTGTGAAAATACTTACTATTCCCAAATAGTAAGGGTATGACTAAAATATTCATCAAGATCAAACAAAAATAAATACATTTATCTTCTCCAGAAGCACTTATTTGACTTTATATAAAATTTGCTATGAAATGTCTTCTTACTTAACGCCCTTTAGAATTACTTATGTATGTTTGGCAGTTCTCTGCAATGTTCTTTTTTTTTTTTTTTTTTAAAGAGGCACGTATTGTATTTATTTGTTTGTTTGTTTGTTTATACATGCACTGGGTACAGTCAGAAACGCGGAAGGGTGAGAGAATTCACCAGAGCCAGAGCGGGGAGCAGAGCAGGCAGAAGGACCGAAGTACACTGCTGAGGGGAGCAGCGGGCGGCAGGAGAGGTCTGCGCGCCATGTGGGACCCTCCTCCAGTGGCTGGGGAGCAGCTGGGGATCGAACCTGCGCCGCAGAGGCCGCGGGCAGCTTCGCAACCCAGCGCTCAACCGCTGCGCCACCGGGGAGGCCCTGCAATGTTCTTTTAATGTAAAATTTAATTATGACACTATACTTTAATTCACTCATTTCAGTATATAAGTTTAGAGAAAAATAATTGCATTCAAGGACTTTTGTAAGAGTTATATATTTTAAAATTAAAAAGTACAAAGACTTGCTTTTATCCTAGAAATTCATTGTTTCTGAATTGGTGAATCACAATATGGCACATTTTCTATAAGAAGGTCTTTCCTTGGAATCAATTCTGAAAGAAAACAAAAGAGAGGACAATTAACATCATTAAAATGAAACTTAAACACCAGCACAATCACTTCACTCTGTAGCTATAGCAATATTATCTAGTTTTAAGGTAAATTTTCCAGGGATATTTTATTTTCGTTAATATCAATAGCTGAATCCTTGATTTTAAATGGAAATGGTTTTTTTTAAAGATTTATTTTTTATGATACAAGAGCTGGGGTGCAGGCCAGTGATGTGGGGAGTGAGAGGATTCACCAGGGATAGAGTGGGGAACATAACAGGAGGACTGACTGAAATACACTGCTGAGGGGAGCAGTGGGTGAGACAGGAGAGGTCTGCTGTGCCACATTGGTCACCTCCCTGGCTGGGGATGGAACTCATTCTGCAGTAGCTGTGGATAGCTTGATAGCGCTGAGACTGTAACCCCTGTGCCAACAGGGAGGCCCCTTAAATGGAGACAGTTTAACAGGATTCTCATTTCAGAGTATATAAAAACATATACCGCCAATTTAACCCTTTATCATTTATTTTAAAAATATAATTAATGATTAAATGAACAGAGTTCAATTAAATTACTTTACCAGCTATCTAACTACAGATAATTAAAACCACCAACTAGAAAATTTATTTATACTACATACTGTATAAAAACCCAGGTGGCTTTTCAAATTTCCAAATTGTACAGAACAATGGTTCTAGTGGGTGTTTGGGTGATCATACCAACTGGAGAATGCTACTGGAATTCAGTGATCAGAAGATAGGGATGTATGGGACAGTCTGGTACAATGAGGAACCATGTAGTTCAAAACGCTGAAAGTCAGTTAGCAACAACAACAATAAGAAAAAAATGTTGAGTCCTTGAAGGCATTTTGCTGAAGTCAAATGAGATAAAGTTCTAAAGACAAAAAATTTTGAGGAGATACAAAATTTCTTTTTTCCTTCAGAAGAACTAGGTCTCGGTGAATTGTCATGATCAAAAAATGTTTACGCCATATTTTATGAAAAGCTTGCTTAAAAACATTGTGATTGGGCCTCCCCGGTAGCGCTGCGGTTGAGCGCTGGGCTGCAAAGCTGCCCGCAGCCTCTGCAGTGCTGGTTCGATCCCGACCACTGGCGAGGGTCCCACATGGCGCGCAGACCTCTCCTGCCGCCCGCTGCTCCCCTCAGCAGTGTACTTCGGTCCTTCTGCCTGTTCTGCTCCGTGCTCTGACTCTGCTGAATTCTCTCACCCTCCCATGCTTCTGACTGACCCAGTACTTGTATAAATAAATAAATAAACCTCTAAAAAAAACAACAAAAAAACATCGTGATTATAAAAGACTAAGAGAAACAGAAAAACTGATCCAGATTAAGGAAGACTAAAGAGAGGTGATGACTAAAGGCCTGAATCCAATTACAAACTGGAAAGAGAAATATTTTTTCTTCTGCCATAAATGTGTCTATATTATATTATATATTACATGGAGAAATGAAGATATAAAAATGAATATATACTAATCTCTTCAGCTTCAAAAAGTCCACATTCTAGTGGAAAAGACAGATAAACAACAAATTGTTTTATAATGTGATTTGTTACAAATGTGTACATTTACGGGAAAACAGAAGACTTAATGGCTAAATCTACCTTTATTGTTTTAGGATATGTTTAGCTCTGCCAAAACAAAAATCCAACAGCTGGTGGTTCAAATAAGTAAAGGATCTAAATTTCTCACATATCAAGGAATACAGACGAGGCCTAATGCAGGTCCTTAGTACTATGGAAACGTTACTGGGGTTCTTTTAATCTTCCTGTTCTGCCTTCATGACTGCTGGTGCATCACCTCTGCACTCCAGGCAGGAGGGGGTGAGGGGAAAGGGCAAAAGGAAAGTGCTAGTTGGGCTTATGCCTTTTAAATAGAAAAATAATAGCTTTCTTGGAAGTAAAGCCCATCATACAGCAACTTACATTGGCCGGAAAGGTATCACATGGTCTGGGAAACCACTTTTTTTGGGGGGGGTGGGGGGACGGGGCACACTGTACACCAAACACAATTTTTCAATTTTTAGAAAGAACGGCAAGGAAGATATTAGAGAAGCAACAAGCAGTCCACCTTTTTGGCTACATGACATGCATATATATCCTTCCCATTTATGGAATGTATCTATTGACCACCTGGCCCCTAAGGTCTCATCTAGATTCAAATCCATGATCTCTGACTGACGTGTTAGTCTTTCCTATCAGGTACAGCAGTGGCTCACATGGTAGAGATCTACTGGATTACAGTGAAGAATAAACAGGACATAGCAGTAAAACGTTAGAATGAGAAACACATGGTGGTCACTGCTCCACAGCAAATTCTAAATCAGAGAAGCAAGAACTTCTTGCTTTGGCAAAGCAATAAATTCTCTAGTCAGCCAATCTGACAGCACCAAATTCTGTTTTCTGAAAGATCCACAGACCCTCTCTTACATACTATATGCACTGTCCTTCAAGGCTCCCGGTTCTGGTTTGTTTTTTTTTTGGGGGGGGGGAAATCTCCTAGCTTGGAGGTAGGGATCTTGGGAAAGATGCCCTTCTTTGAGGCTGTGATGCTTTCATAGTTCACTTCCTACTGATATGAATTCAGGAACCCAGGAATGGTCTTAAGGGTTTCTGAGCAATACAAATTTCTCAAAAACTTTATAAGCTTTTCATCTATTTTTTTTCAGTTATTTCCATGTATAGGAAGTCATAGGCAAATATTGTGACACAGTTTTTGACCACGAAGATTCCATCCTTTAGTAACGGCCTCTCTCCAACCTTTCTTCTAACCCTTGGCTTAATGGACACTTCTTAAAGCAATGAAAAACAGTAGGCTCCAGTGAGTAAATGCATCTTATATCTGATCTCTCTCTGGACAATGAGAAAGGTTTGCGATATTGATCTTACTCAGAAGCCCAGTGCTTGTGATGGCTTTATTTTTGGTGGATAAAAACAAATCACATTTTCAATTCTGCAAAGCTCTAAATTACAGGACACTCAATTAATTAGACTTCAGAATGTAGACAGAAGAGTGCCCCTTAGCAAAGTAGTACTTTCTTCCATCTTTGCTTTGAGATGAATTAGCTTATGTCCATTCCTCCTCTTTTTCAATATTTTTCCAAAAGCAGGAAGAAATAATCAGCACACAAAGACATTCTAGTTATTTCCCTTATCGCTATAGCCTTAGCTGTTACTTTGTGTCCTAAGAAAGGACAAGACGTACTACCTTACCTTTCATAACTACCTGTTTGAGAGTCACCAGCTTCAAGCCTGTGATGTTCAGGGCAATGAAAATCATACCCCCTTCTCTATCCCTGTCTTCCATTCAGTTAATTTCACACATTAATTGTGACATTTCTAGTACCTCACTTCTGTTAACAATTTCTGTTTTTCTTAGTTACAAGTAACAGAAGCTGATGCTAGCTAGAGAGGCAAAAATGTCATTTTCTGACAGGTTACTGTTCTAACTCGTGGAATTATTATGAGGTTTTAAGAACCAGGCAGGCTTGAGACTCAGCTTCCGTGGCCAATGATCAAAGCCATGCCACAAAACTGGCCGGATGATAAAAGCTGCTGCTGCTTACAGAGCACTAGAAGAAACAGCCACCATGTCTGCTCCAATAGCACATAAGATAATACACTTCACATGCTGAAAGAAACTCAGTTTACCTACAGGTATTCCTGTGACCACAGCAATGCCACTTGTGAATCATCAGTAACTTTACTATGTAACCACTACAACTAGTTCTACTCCTGCCAGCAAAACAAATTCGGTGCCAAGCCTTTTTCTCAGGTTTATTTCTAAATATGGGTGAGTGGGCTGCACCTAAGTCAATGCCCAGGCTGAGCTGCAAAGAAAACTGAGAAACTTAATTTTTTAGTTGCTACATAAAATCATGTACATGAAATTCCTGATGCCTAATCCGCTAGCATCAGCTTCTGTTACTTGTAACTAAGAAAAACAGAAATTGTTAACAGAAGTGAGGTATTAGGGCCTCCCCGGTGGCGCAGCGGTTGAGCATTGGGCTGTGAAGCTGCCCGCAGTCTCTGCAGTGCCAGTTCGATCCCCGGCTGCCAGCGAGGGTCCCACCTGGCGCACAGACCTCTCCTGCCATGCCTGCTGCTCCCCTCAGCAGTGTGTTTCATCAGTCTGCCTGTTCTGTTCCCCGCTCTGGCTCTGGTGAATTCTCTCACCCTCCTGCATTTCTGACTGTACCCAGTGCTTGCATAAATAAATAAATAAATCTTTAAAAAAAAAAAAACAAAAAACAGAAGTGAGGTACTAGAAATGTCACAATTTAAATGTGAAATTAATTGAATGGAAGACAAGGATAGAGAGGCTCTTCAAAGAGTGGTAAATAACCAGATAGCCTATTAAATATCCATTATTTCATTCTTTCCCCAATTCACCTTATTAAGTAATCTCTGGAATCAAAAGGCACCTTATAATTCAATTTTTCTATATTCAATTATTATTAACACTTTATCCCAACATGCCACAGGTATATTTACATGCTATATACCAGTTTGCACCATAATTTGTTTTATGGACTATAAAATCCCTGACTTTGGTCTCTATATTAGATATCAAAGAACCACAATTCTAGAAACCAAAAGGAACCTAAAGAGACATGACAATTAAATGCAATGAATTAAGACTGATGGGGGGGGGGCAGCTATAAAGAGTATTATTTAAAATAAAATGGTGACATCTGAATATCTGAATGTGGATTATGGATTAGATTTAAAAAATATCAATGTTAGATGTCCTAACTTAAATCATTTACTGTGTTTATATAAGAGAATGCACTTGTTCTTAAGTATATACACACAGAAACACTTAAGGAATAAAAGGTACAATGTCAAAAAGAAATAAATATATAAGAACCATAATAACATAAGTGTACTGAAGTCGTTGGATTTCAACAAGGAATTATAATGAGATCATGACTTATTTCCTGCATTTTAGGTCCATCAATATGGACACATTAAATTTATAGCCTAAAAACTTTTTCTATTGAAATAAAAAGCCTTCAACTCAATTATGGCCCAAAATAAAAATTAAGGGTATGCCCACAAAAAGTATGGATGGTCTGGTTTATGACAGCATAGTAATTACAGAGGCATCCAGATAGTAAGTAACTTAACAGGACACTAACATTTTAACTCTGAAGTTGCAGAAATACTGCTAAGTATATTAGGCAATAAAAACAAATGATAAGTTCAAATTAGAGAACTTGTATTACAAAATTGTTTTCTTCTAAGAACCCACTCCTGAAAAAAATCTGGTAAATAAAGTTTCATAATTTATATTAAAGACATATACAATAGGGCCTCCCTAGTGGCACTGCGGTTGAGCGCTGGGCCGTGAAGCTGCCCGCAGCCCCTGCAGCGCAGGTTCACTCCCTGGTCGCCGGGTGAGGGTCGCACATGGCACGCAGACCTCTCCTGCCACACCTGCTGCTCCCCTCAGCAGTGTTCTTCGGTCCTTCTGCCTGTTCTGTTCTCTGCTCTGGCTCTGGTGAATTCTCTCACCCTCTCACGCTTCTGACTGTACCCAGTGCTTGTATAAATAAATAAATAAATCTTAAAAAAAAAAGGATATATACAATATATACCATGTTGTCTGGCAAAATTAAGCTATTTTACTAATAAGCCCTAAAAATATTGTGAATGTTTGATATTTTAAAACACTGCAGTCATAAAACAATTTTCTTTAATTTTACTTACTCAGTGTATTATGATCTGTGTGAATACCTTGAATAACACATGTTCGGAGTAACAATTCAACATCGGAACCTAATTTAATGAGCTGTCAAGAAAACAAAAGAGAGTAGATCCTTCAGGTATCTTTCTAATGGTTCATAGAGACATACCATTTATGAAAACTACAGATTTATTTGCATTTCTTTTTAGGTAATACTGTCTTTAACTTTTTTTCTTTAAAGATTTATTTATTTATGCATACAAGAACTGGGGTGTAGGCTGGAGGTGCAGGAGGTTAGAGGATTCACCAGACACAGTGGGGTGTAGAACAGGCAGATTGATTGAAATACATTGCCAAGGGGAGCAGCAGTCAAGGCAGGAGAGGTCTGCTGCACCATATGTGTTAGCTCCCTGGTCAGGGATTGAACTGGTGCTACAGCGGTTGCTGATAGCTTGATAGCGCTGTGTCTTTAAACCCTGCTCCACCAGGGAGGCCCTGCCTTTAACTTTTTGTAACCATTCCAGGCATACAGAAAGTTCAGACATGTGTATACTTTAAAAATTTATTCACCCATTCCACATTACCTTCCAAAACAGATTTAGAGCATTTTTTATTGTAAATTTCACAATGTGTTTAAAATGCACACTCTGATTGGGGGGTGGGGGGCACCCCCAAATTTCTAGTTTTGAAATTTTTATAGAGTTAGATATTCTGAATATTAGAAAAACAGAGTACTGGATTAGGAGTTCAAATATTCATATTCTAACGTTAATCTCGCATTAAGTGTACCTACTTTCTTTTGATTTTCAGATCACATCATATGCAAAACTAAGAAATGAACCAGAACAGCAAATTCTGAAAGGTGTGAAGAGCTAAAGAAGGCAAGACCCTTTCAGGAGACCAATGAGATCAAAATTATTTTCATAATATTTCATTCACAATGCATCATTTGCATTGTGAACAGAAGTAGAGCTTTCTCCACTGAATGCCATTTTTACTTGAAAGAACCACTGACAAACTATGATCATCAAACTTGGGTATTTGGCAGACATTTTCTTGAAATTAGTAGAGTCTGTCAGTTCAAGAAAACAAGAGATAGTACTTGCTGAATGGTGAAATTCAAGCTTTCATGCAGAAAGTGGAATTCTGGATAACTTGTATTCATCAATGTGAGCCTGACAGCTTCCCAATATTTAAAGATCTTTTTGATGAGATGGACATTGATATTAAGAGATGTAATTTAAAAAAAATTACATATTAAACTATGTCAACATTTGGAAGATCTGCATTACTTAGTGAATCTAAATTTTTTATAACAACCCAGGGAGAGATGATGGTGCTTTAAACCAGAAGAAAACAATGGAGATGAGAAGTTGGAGACTTAGATATATTCTGAAGGTTAAGCCAATAGATTTGCTGACTGGGTTTAATAGCAAGAGAAGGAAAATAGTCAAGAAAGATAGCATCAAGGTTTTTGGCTTGAGCTTCAAAAAAGAGGGAGCTGTCACTAAGATGGAGAAGGCTCTGGGAAAGCAAATCCTTACTCCCCAAGAGACTTGAAAAGGGTCTTAGCAGGATAAAGAAGGGGGGAAAAGGGCTTTCTCATCATTGGAGGTATATAAAGTGAGTCAAGAACTAAATCTAAGGCTGGAAACAAGGCTAAATGAGATTAGGGAACATTAGAGGGATGAATCCTGGAGCAAAAAAAAAATTTTTTTTCATCTTTCTCTGTCTCCCTAACCATCTACTTTTCTACCTACCTACAGTCATGTCAACTTATCTCCACTCATCTAACAGATAAGAGTTCCATATTGCAATTAATCTTTAAGAAAATTTACCACTTGTTGAGGATATTATGAAAGAACATTCATAATATCTGAAAAAGCTATATATCTGGCAATATCTGAAAAGGATCTTACCCTTTTGCATTTATGGATCTGTGTGAAGTCAAATTTTTTTCATATACTTCAACTTAAAAAACTTATCACTCAGTTTGAATAAAGAAGCAGGCATGAGAATTTAGCTGATTTCTATTAAGCTAGATATTAAAGAGATTGGAAAAATGTAGAATAATGCCATTCTTCTCACTAAATATTCTTGAAAATTAGTTATTTCTCATAAAACTGTATTTGTTTATATTTAATTAATACATATTTTTAAATTTCCTCAGTTTAATATCTAATACAGTAAATATTGATGGATATAGTACATAAACAGCAATTTTGAGGTCATCAATTATTTAAGAAGGTAAAGGGCTGTCTTAAGAGCACAAAGTTTGAGAGCTATTGGTATAGACGATGCTTAAGAATCCTTTGGTGTCAAGGCTTCATGAGCCCTTTAATACATGACAATATAATTACCTACAAAATATTAAGTATTTAATGTATGCAGTTATGGAAAGTAAAAATACATACTAGTACATAACAAATATCTAATTTACAGATTGCTTAATGTGAAATCAGTGCTCTATAAGTATGAATGAATCTAGGAGAGTGTAGTTCATTTTCCCAGATGTGCTGATATGAACAGACATCAATTAAAATTTTTTAAGTCATGTTTTAAAAATTGTCATATTGGGCCTCCCCTGGTGGCACAGCAGTTGAGCTCTGGGCTGCGTAGCTGTAGCTGCCTGCAGCCTCTGCAGCGCTGGTTTGATGCCTGCTGGCCGGCGAGGGTCCCACATGGCGCGCAGACCTCTCCTGCCGCACCCACTGCTCTTCCCAGCAGTGTATTTCGTCGGTCTGCCTGTTCTGTTCCCTGCTCTGGCTCTGGTGAATCCTCTCACCCTTCCGTGCTTCTGACTGTACCCAGTGCTTTTATAAATAAATAAATAAATCTTTAAAAAAAATTGTCATATTGTTATCAATCCCACTAAAGAGCAAATAGTAAACTTTCTTAAATACTTTTTAACTTCTCTTCAAATCATCACTTGATTATAATGTCAACTTAACTTCTTCTTTATCATATGCTTAAATGAAATCTTTCCTTTTTTCCTTTACATTGCATGGATAGAAATACTTAGGCTGGGCCTCCCCAGTGGCACAGCGGTTGAGCGCTGGGTTGCGAAGCTGCCCGCAGCCTCTGCAGCACCAGTTCAATCCCCGGCCACCGGGTGAGGGTCCCACATGGCGTGCAGACTTCTCCTGCCGCCCGCTGCTCCCCTCAGCAGTGTACTTTGGTCCTTCTGCCTGTTCTGCTCCCTGCTCTGGCTCTGGTGAATTCTCTCGCCCTCCCGCGCTTCTGACTGTACCCCAGTGCCTGTATAAATAAATAAATAAATCTTTAAAAAAAAAAAAAAAAAAGAAATACTTAGGCTATCTAATTTTGTCTTATTATCTTTATTACAAATATTTACTATTTCAAAATGCACTTTTCTTTATGAAATATAAATGCATTTTCACCAGATATATATATATATATATATATATATATATATATATATATTTTTTTTTTTTTTTAAATGTATCTTTTTTGGGGGAAGATTTATTTATACAAGCACTGGGTACAGTCAGAGGCGCAGGAGGGTAACAGAATTCATCAGAGCCAGAGCAGGGAACAGAACAGGCTGACTGATGAAATACACTGCTGAGGGGAGCAGCGGGCGCGGCAGGAGAGGTCTGCGCGCCATGTGGGACCGTCGCCCGTGGCCAGGGATCGAACCGGAGCTGCAGCGGCTGTGGGCAGCTTCACAGCCCAGCGCTCAACCGCTGCGCCACCAGGGAAGGTCCCAGATATATTTTTTTAACATGTGGAAATTCTATTAAAAATGGAAGAAGAGGGGCCTCTCTGGTGGCGCAGTGCTGTGAAGCTGTCCGCAGCCTCTGCAGTGCCGGTTCGATCCCTGTTGGCCATGGAGATACCCACCAAGAAATCTGGTGGGACAGACATCTCCTGTCTTGCCCGCTTCTCCCCTCAGCAGTGTATTTCAGTCAATCTGCCTGTTCTGTTCCCCACTCTTGTCTCTGGTGAATCCTCTCACCCTCCCGTGCCTCTGGCCTGTACCCTGGTTCTTGTATAAATAAATAAATCTTTAAAAAAAAAGGAAGAAGAATTTCTCTAATTTGTACCTTTCTCTTTAGCAAACCAACTCTTGGAATCGTAATTACCACCCCTGCAAATAATATTCCATTTTTTGTTTTCTTTCTAAGGATCTTTCCCCAAACAATAGAAAGTTAGATATAGGAACACCTAGGAAGCTTAAGACAGAGACAATGTCTCTGTGTGTATGAGTAGTATGATTTTATATAGGAAAAGAATTACTGTAAAGTTTTTCAAAAAACATGTTCTGGAGTATTAGGGAGATCACAGACTAGTGTCAATAGATTTGTCTTCATTTACAGCAAGTAGTTAAAGTGCAAATAATAAAGGCAAAGTGCGAGTAGCTCATAAACTGTCTGGTTAATTTTTATTGCCAAGAGCCTCCCTGGTGGTACAGGCAGTTGAGCGCCACACTGTGAAGCTGTCCACAGCCTCTGCACCGCGGGTTTAATCCTGGCCAGCCGGCAAGAATCCCACACGGCAAAGCAGACCTCTCCTGTCTCGCCCGCTGCTCCCCTCAGCAGTGTATTTCATCAGTCTGCCTGTTCTGTTCCCCCCTCTGTCTCTGGTGAATCCTCTCATCCTCCCACACATCTGGCCTGTATCCCAGTTCTTGTATAAATAAATAAATCTTTAAAAAAAAAATTTCTATTGCCAAGATAGGAATTAAAAAAATAATAAACTATCTAGATGAAAGAAATGAGTTGATATTTACTCTGTAGTAAAGAGTTACTACAACACTTATTCACATTTGTTTCAGTCACCTGCCTTAGGTGAACACAGAATTTCTGTGATTTACTGGGTTGGTTTGTTTACTGTGCTTGCATTGACCACGGCTATATCTATGTTCTTTTCAGCAGGCAACCTGTTGTCCATGGGTGTAGGCAGGTGATCCTGAAGTGAGTCAAACCAAACAAGTAAAGGTTATCTACATTGGTGTGGTAGCTTTAACCGCCAATTATTTTATGTAGCTCCCCATTTCCATCATTCCTCTAGTTGCCAAGAAAATTTATGTTTTATTGTAATTGAGAAATTCATTACTGTACCATACCTCTTCTATTTTCTTAGGAGAAGTTTCACTTTTATTATTTTTGAATTCTTCATTTATCTTTATTCTGGCTGCTAGAGAAAGAAAAATATACATACAGTTATTTGCCTTTCTATTTATAATTCTTGTACAATAATTTACATGTTATTACAACTGAGCACTTCTATAATAAAATAGTTTTACTAATGTAAAACAAAGTATAAAATAAGAAATTTATTAAGAAAGTCTCTTTCAGAGTTGTTGACAGGCTGGAAAATTTATAATTAAATCTAATACAGTCTTTAGCACTATAATACTTTTGCTTTCTGTTCTTCCAATTTCATTTGCTTACCTCTAAATATTCAATTTTTACCAAATCCAATTTAATCCTTTGCTTTGGGCCTCCCTGGTGGTGCAAGGGGTTAAGCACTGCACTATGAAGCAATCTGCAGCCTCTGCAGCATGGGTTCGATCCCCAGCCAGCCAGGGAGCAACCCATGGCGCAGCAGATTTCTCCTATCTCGCCTGCTTCTCCCCTCAGCAGTGTATTTCAGTCAGTCTGCCTGTTCTGCTCCCCACTCTGTCTCTGGTGAATCCTCTCATCCCCTGTACCTCTGGCCTATACCCAGCTCTTGTATGCATAAAGAAATAAATCTTTAAAAAAAATCCTTTGCTTCTATTTATCTAAAGATTTAATTTAAAATCTTTTTTAATTTTTTAAAAGATGGTAAGAATATATATATAAGCATACTAAAGCTCATATAGCATGCACACATATACACAATTAAAATATATAGCAGCAAAGAGGACCTATATATATGTTTTTGAGTGCTTTGACTGACATGTAAAATTAGTGACAAGTTAAAACTTTGTTCATGTACACCACTGAGACTTTGGCATCATTATAGCAGCGTAATGTTCTAATCTGACTGATAAACTTACTGTATTTCTGTAAGCATTTAATGGGACAATCCTCATAAAGAGGTTGATAAATAGTCTGTGCTAATTGTTTTTGTAATTATTTTAGTCAAAACAAAAATATGCCATGTTGATGGAAATTAACTATAAAACCTTCCTTTTATATTTGATTAATTTTAATATGGACGGTGATTCAAGGGTTGTGCTACTGTGTAGGCTAAATCTTAGCTCTTCACCTTATTAAGTATGATGTGGGGCAAATCCTTTCACATTTTGTCAGCTTTCTATTCTGCAAAAGAATCATAATAGTAGCTACCTCAAAAGGCTGTTGTGAGGGTTAAGTGAGGAATTTGTATCAAGTACATATAAAATGGAGCGCATACTTTTTAATATTCAAGAAAAATTATTTTGGTGAATAACAAAACTTTAATTCTTAGGGACAGTGGGGACAATTTACCTAGGTACCCTCTTTTTTTTTTTTTTTTTACATTTATTTTTCAGTGGTGATTTTTTTTTTTTTTTTTTAAAGATTTATTTATTTATCTATACAAGCACTGGGTACAGTCAGAAGCGCGGGAGGGTGAGAGAATTCACCAGAGCCAGAGCAGGGAGCAGAGCAGGCAGAAGGACCGAAGTACACTGCTGAGGGGAGCAGCGGGCGGCAGGAGAGGTCTGCGTACCATGTGGGACCCTCCTCCGGTGGCCGGGGAGCTGCCGGGGATCGAACCGGCGCTGCAGAGGCTGCGGGCAGCCTCGCAACCCAGCGCTCAACCGCTGCGCCACCGGGGAGGCTCCTACCTAGGTACCCTCTTAAAAATAGTTTAGAAATATATCAGGATTTGAAATTAACATAAAACCTGAGCTTTAGAGCTTTGACTTCCAGATGACACAGAAACTACTTGCAGTAATGGGATACTGAATTTGGAGTTCTCTGGGACAGATTCTATTTCATAACTGCTATCATTTCCAGACTGACACAAGGCATTACTATGATAGTATTTGGACAATGTGACAATTTGATTAAATTACAGAGAAATGAGTGTAACGATTTAATCACAGATAAGCAATGGGACACAGGGAAATTTTGATGCTTTTCCCCTGATTCTCTTCTTTTTTTTTTTTTTAAAGATACATTTTTAGGGCCTTCCCAGTGGCGCAGCGGTTGAGCGCTGGGTTGCGAAGCTGCCCGCAGCCTCTGCAGCGCCGGTTCGATCCCCGGCTGCTCCCCGGCCACCGGAGGAGGGTCCCACATGGCGCGCAGACCTCTCCTGCCGCCGCTGCTCCCCTCAGCAGTGTACTTCGGTCCTTCTGCCTGCTCTGCTCCCCGCTCTGGCTCTGGTGCATTCTCTCACCCTCCCGCGCTTCTGACTGTACCCAGTGCATGTATAAATAAATAAATAAATCTTTAAAAAAAAAAGATACATTTTTATTTATTTATGCATACAAGAACTGGAATATAGGTTGAAATTACGGGGTGTGAGGGAACTCACCAGAGACAGAGTGGGGAACAGAACAGGTGGATCTAAACACATTGCTGTGGGCAGCAACGGGAGAGACAGGAGAGTCCACTGTGCCATGTGGATTAGCAACCTGGCTGGGGATCAAACTATGGTTGCAGTGGCTGGGGATAGCTTGATGGTGCTAAGACTCCAACACCTGCACCACCAGGGAAGCCCTTTTTTTCCCCCTGATTTTTTTTAAGGTTTATTTATTTATACAAGAACCAGGGTACAGGCCAGATGTGCAGGAGGGTGAAATGATTCACCAGATACAGAGCGGAGAACAGAATAGGTAGACTGACTAAAATACACTGCTGAGGGGAGGGGGGAGAGACAGGAGAGGTCTACCACGCCATGTGGGAATCTCACCGGCTGGCTGGGATAGAAACCACACTGCAGAGGCTGTTGACAGCTTCACAGCTTCACTCACCACCAGGGAGGCCCCCCCCTTTTTTTAAAGATTTATTTATTTATGCACACAATAACTGGGGTACAGGGCAGAGGAGTGGATGGTGAGAGGACTCACCAGAGACAGAGTGCGGAACAGAACAGGCAAAATGACTGAAATACACTGCTGAGGAGAACAGCAGGCAAGACAGGAGAGGTCTGCTGCACCATGTGGGTAGCTCCCTGGCCAGGATCGAACCCGTGCTGCAGTGGCTGCGGACAGCTTCATAGGTTGCGTCTTAACTCCTGCACCACCAGGGAGGCCCCCCAACTGATTCTTTTTTTTTTTAAATAAATCTTTTATTTATTTTTTAATAGAGGCATGTTTTATTTATTTGTTTGTTTGTTTGTTTATACATGCACTGGGTACAGTCAGAAACGCAGGAGGGTGAGAGAATTCACCAGAGCCAGAGCGGGGAGCAGAGCAGGCAGAAGGACCGAAGTACACTGCTGAGGGGAGCAGCGGGCGGCAGGAGAGGCCAGCGCTCAACCGCTGCGCCACTGGGGAGCCCCCCCCCCACTGATTCTTTATGAAACATGATCTTTCAAAAATTTTAAGCAGATATTCCTTAAAGTGTAATGCAGACTAATCTTTATAAAACATAATAACACTAGGAGAGAGAGAGTGAAGGTCATTCCCTAACGTGGTCTTAACCACAAAGTCCTTCTGAATAGATTAAGAGTCATCCAAAAAAGGATTTGTTCCAAAGAGGTAAAGAAAATAAACTTACCTTCTAATGCTCTGGTATCATTTTTAAAAACTTGTTTTCTGGTCCTGTGCAGTGTTTTAAAGAGCTGCAAAACCTGTAATGAAAATCAGAATTCAAACTTCAAAAGAAGAAAATTTCATGTTCTACATAGTTATAAATTTAAGTAATATTTTTCTGTTTGTTTCTGAGATTATTATTCAAAATAGTAGAAGAGTTGAAATAGGTGAATATCAGGGTTTGTCAAATAACTTTCCAGTCATTATTTATCTTTACATTTAAAAAAATTCACTTAATTTACAAAAATAATACAATGTTCTTTGAAACAAAACAATATAAAGATGGTTAAAAAGATAATGTCTGTCTGCCAAAAACCAGTCTGTGAAGGGAGCAAACTTTACTAATCTGATATGTACTTGTTTTCATTTTTATTAACTTATTAAGCTTTCACCTGCTCTTAAAAGTCAAACACACATATACAAACTGATGAATTTATTACATTTAACAGAGTCCAAAGGAGGATGGTTTAGACATTTTAGATAAGTTTAACAGTGATTTCTCAAAAGAGAAGAACTCTGAGATTTATGAATATTTGTAATACTTGTTAAAAAAAATAACAAAGAGAAAAGAGCCTGGTATTTAAGTAAAAGGCAGATTGTAGAGAGGTTTTAGTGACAGGCCAAGGCAATATCAATCTTCTCAAGTTCAAAAAGGTACTCATCATTTCTTCATTATTGCTCTTTCCCATGTCTTCTCAATTTCAGTATGGAAGACCCTACATTCCTCAAGTGGAAATCTCTAGATCTTTATTTTTATTTTTTTAAAAGATTTATTTATGCATACAAGAGCTGGGATTCAGGACAGAGATGCAGGGAGGTGAGAGGATTCATCAGAGACAGAGTGGGGAACAGAACAGGCAGCTGAGGATAGTTTCATAGTGCCTGCGACTTAACCCCTTTTGCCACTAGGAAGGCCCTTATAGATCTTACTTTAAATCTACTTTACTCTTCACGTGGAAACTTGAGGTCTATCTCTCTAATCTTGTGTATTTTATCCATCCCTGAAAACTATTTAAGTTCAGCCCGCCCCATCTCTTGCTTAGCCTACTCATAAAACTTTGTCACTTTACCACCATTCTTTCTTTTACTCTAGTCCATTCACAGATAATAATATCTAACATCTACTGAGAATGTACTGTGTACTAGGCACTATTTAAAATATTTTACATAAGGCCTCCCTGGTAGCACAGGGGTTAAGCATCAGCATTATGAAGTAATCCACAGCTACTGCAGCACAAGTTCCATTCCCAGCCAGGGAAGTGACCCACATAGCGCAGCAGACCTCTCCTGTCTCACCAACTGCTCCCCTCAGCACTGCATTTCACTCAAACTGCCTGTTCTGCTCCCCATTCTGTCTCTGGTGACTCCTCTCACCACCCCAATACCCCACGACCCCGCAACTCTGGCCTGTATCCCAGTTCTTGTATGCAAAAGCAAATCTTTAAAAAAATAAAATAAAATATTTTACATATATTTGAAAACCTTTAACATCAAAGGGTGACACCAAAACCGTAATAGCAAACAGGGAACAGAAAAGGTAAATATAAAACAAAATCAAACAACCACAATAAACTTCCTCAGAAATATATTACTGCAAAAATGGAATATAATCAAAAAGAAGTTTTAGTAAATTTTATTTTTTTTTTAAATGATTTATTTATTTATATAAGAACCGGGGTACAGGTCAGATGTGCAGGAGGGTGAGAGGATTCACCAGAGACAGAGCGGGGAACAGAACAGGCAGGCTGACGAAATACACTGCTAAGGGGAGCAGCAGGCAAGACATGAGAGGTCTGCTGCACCACGTGGGTACCTCACTGGTACGAACCGGGATCGAACCTGCACTGTAGAGGCTGCAGACAGCTTCACAGCGCTGCACTCAACCACTTGAACAACCAGGGAGGCCCATTTTAGTAAATTTTAAAAAAGGTATATTCAGAAAACTCCCAAAGTTCTTGGCTATGAATTGAGTGATGTAGCAAAGATTAAGTAGAGAAAAAATATTTAGAAAGTGAAATAAAAATTCAAAGAAAAAAAAATGAGGGGAGAAAAGATAAAAGAATATTTAGAATAGTCTAGATGAACTAACATTTACAATAATACAATCTCCAACAATTGAGAACAGAGAAAACAGAAGAAAATAAGAGGGAAATCAAGAAATGTCACCAATTGAGGCATTTGTTACTATAGATTGAAAGGGCTCCACCAAGTGTCCAATCCATACCACAGCACCTTACCACAGTAAGGTCAGTACAGTGATGATAAAAAAAAAAAAACAGAAAAAAAAACAATTCACACATAAAAGGAGAGAAAACCAGAATGACACCTGACTTTAAAATAGCATTGCTGTGAGAAAGTAATGGTATAGTGTCCTCATGTTTAAAAAAAAATGTCCAACTTAGAACACCATACATAGTCAAACTATTACCTAACTACAAGGGCAAAGTGACAAGTTCAAAAATGTGAAGTCTTTTATTTGCTGTGCATCCTTCTCGGAGAGCTATAGAAAAATGTACCCCACCAAAATAAGATGAACCATGAAGAAAGAAATGTGGGAAAATGACAGGTGATCTAGTAACACAGGAGAGGCAGAGATGATGGTGAAGGACAAATACAAGTTAGGATTTGTGTAGCCAGTCTAGCTATAACAAAAGGGTGAATTGCTCCAGAAAAGACGTTGCTAGGAAAAAATAAAACTGGTAGACCTGGGCCTCCCTAGTGACGCAGCGGGTTGAGTGCAGTGCTGTGAAGGTGTCCGCAGCCTCTGCAGCACTGGTTTGATTCCTGGCCGGTCAGGGAGATTCCCATATGGCGAGGCAGACCTCTCCTGTCTTGCCCACTGCTCCCCTAAGCAGTGTACTTCGGTCCATCTGCCTGTTCTGCTCCCTGCTCTGTCTCTGGTGAATTCTCTAACCCTCCCGCGCCTCTGGCCTGTACCCCAGTGCTTGTATAAATAAATAAATCTTTAAAAAAAGTTAAAAAAAAGGGGGGCCTCCCCGGTGGCTTAAGGGGTTAAGGACCGCACTATGAAGCAAACTGCAGCCTCTGCAGTACGAGTTCGTTCCCTGGAGGCCAGGGAGCAACCCACATGGCACAGCAGGCCTCTCCTGTCTTGCCCGCTGCTCCCCTCAGTAGTGTATTTTGGTCAGTCTGCCTGTTCTGTTCCCCACTCTGTCTCTGGTGAATCCTCTCACCCCCAGCTCTTGTATGCATAAATAAATAAATCTTTTTAAAAAATTAAAAAATTTAAATTTAAAAAAAAGAATCTGAACAGATATTTCTTTAAAGTTAGACAATGGCATATAAGGCCATGAAACGATGTTCAAAGTAATTTGCTAGTAGAGAAATACAAATCTAAAACCTCAACAAGATACTACATCACTTCTGAATACTTCTGGGTACTTATACTGTGTGTTAGTGAAATGTTTATTAGTTGTTCCTATGCTTCCTCAGAGGCTTCCTGGTCACCTCCATATTCTCACACTTAACATAGGTATCTTCTACATACGGTAGACCTTGACAAGATTTTTGGAAGAACTCCTATATAATTTCATTTGTATTCTGGTTTTCCAAGCAACTTCCCACTGAATCAATCTCAACTTAAACTTTTAAGATTTTTTTTTTTTTTGCATCCATTCAGTTAGGTTAAATTTCAGTTATATGGTCACAAAACAACCTTATTTCAATTTAAAGCACTTACTACATTTGTGATTAAGTACAGGTGATCCTGAAAACCACCAGTTTGAGCAGCACAGGTTCACTTACACAATTTAATTTCAAATTTACAAATTCAACCACCCATAGATATTGGTTTGCTGAATCTGTGAATTCACATAAAGGGCATAATATAATCATCCTGCTGATTTTACTATGGGGCATAGTTAGTGGTGGTTCTGAAGTGAATCTATGTCAATACCACGGGATGGTTGCAGGTAAGCTTTTAGGGAGTCAAAAGTTATATACGGGACTGTGTAGGCTGGCACCTCATACCCCACATTATTCAAGAGTCAACTGCACTTGTTTAAAATCTCCCCTTGGGCCTCCCTGGTGGCGCAGTGGTTGAGCGCTGGGTTGCAAAGCTGCCCACAGCCTCTGCAGCGCTGGTTCGATCCCCGGCTGCTCCCCGGCCCTGGAGGAGGTTCCCACATGGCGCATAGACCTCTCCTGCCACCCGCTGCTCCCCTCAGAAGTGTACTTCGGTCCTTCTGCCTGCTCTGCTCCCCGTTCTGACTCTGGTGGATTCTCTCACCCTCCCGCGCTTCGGACTGTACCCAGTGCTTGTATAAATAAATAAAAATAAATTTAAAAAAAAAATCTCCCCACCATGGGCCTCCTGGGTGGCACAAGGGGTTAAGTTCCTCAGGCTTGCCAGGGAGCTGACCCACATGGCACAGTAGACCTCTCCTGTCTTGCCAGCTGCTCCCCAGAGCAGTTTTTTTCCCTAAAGATTTATTTATTTATGTATGCATACATAAGCTGGGTGTAGGCCAGAGGGGTGTGTGTGTGTGTGTGTGTGTGTGTGTGTGTGTGTGTAAAAGAGAGAGAGAGAGAGTGAGAGAGAGAGAGAGGGGGAGGATTCACCAGAGACAGAGTGGGGAGCATACCAGGGGGTATACTCCTGAAGGGAGCAGTGGGAGAGGTCTGTTGGGCCATGTGGGTCACCTCCCTGGCCAGTGGGTTGGGGGAATCGAACTCCTGCTGCAGTGACTGGATAGCTTGATCTGCTGTCTTTATCTTTAACCCCTGCTCCACTAGGGAGTTCCCTCAGCAATGTATTTCAGTCAATTCGCCTTTCTTTTTTTTTTTTTTTTTTTTTTTTTTAATAGAGGCATGTTTTATTTATTTATTTGTTTGTTTGTTCGTTTTTTGTTTCGTTTACACATGCACTGGGTACAGTCAGAAGCACGGGAGGGTGAGAGAATTCACCAGAGCCAGAGCGGGGAGCAGAACAGGCAGAAGGACCGAAGTACACTGCTGAGGGGAGCAGCGGGCGCCAGGAGAGGTCTGCGCGCCATGTGGGACCCTCCTCTGGTGGCCGGGGAGCAGCCGGGGATCGAACCGGTGCCGCAGAGGCTGCGGGCAGCTTCGCAACCCAGCGCTCAACCGCTGCGCCACCGGGGAGGCCCCAGTCAATTCGCCTTTCTGTTCCCCACTCCGTCTCTGGTGAATCCTCTCACCCCTCCCCTCTGGCCTGTACCCCAGTTCTTGCATCCATACATAAATCAATCTTTTTAAAAAATAAAAATAATAAAAGCCTCCCCACCTGCTAGACTTCTCCACAAAAGCAAAGGTGGTCTGTTTATTACTGCATCCATTATGCTTAGACAGTACAGAGAAAAGGTTGGTTTTGGATAATATTAACAGCTATTGTGGACACTCAAACTTTTTAAATGAATAACTCTTTATAATTTCGTTGATATTGGCGTTGTGACATTAAAATGTACTGAGATCAGGTTCAGTAACAGATGAAGCAAGAAACCATAAGCACAGTTTTTCCTCACAATATTTCTCACACCAAGTCTCCATCCATTGCCGACGTTTCAGCCAGTGACAGGGACAGGTCCCAAACGGCCATGCTGACGATATTTAAGGCTAGGGATGACTGGTCCCTGAGAACTGGGCGCTGGCCAGGAAAGAGCATCAGTCTGAGGACAAATTAAATTGAAACCGGGTCCTCAGGAATGTGACCTGGGTGGGTCACCACTTCCCACGCTTATTCAAAGCACGCAGGTCTCACGGGACTTTGCTCCTTCGCGATGTTACCTTTGGCTGGTGATTTTACCAGGACTAAATTCCCTTGGATTTTAGATTCCTGTGCATCTTCTTACTAAACCTTTCACCTCACCGTAAGGTGTGAGAGCAGGATTGCCGAAGGCGTCTTGTCCCTTTATCGACTACGTGAAAATGGGTCCTTCAGACAAATACTCAAGTCTGAAGACAGAACGGGGGCAGAATCCAGGGAATGGCCTTCCGTCACCCCTGGGCAGCTGGGCAGACTGAGAAGCAACAACCAGGGGTGCCCCCCGCCCTCCTCCGCATCTACACAAAACCCGTCAACACCCTCCAGGGGTGGGCACGGGCTCCTCACGGACTACGGCAACCACCTTGGAGGAGGGTGCTGAACCTCAGCGCAGAGACTCCAGACAAGGCCGCGCTCCTGCTTTCCCCACAAGCATCACACCCACCCCCTTCCAGGGCCCTGTCACCTTGGCGGCTTGACCCATGGCTCTCCTCTCGGATGCCGCCACCTCTTAAGCGTCGAGTGACCGCGCCCCTCGGCAACCAATCACTGCCTGGCAAGGACTGTCTGACTCCGCGTAGTCACGTTCCAAGAAACCGTAACCAATCACCACGAAGCATCTCCTTCGTAGCCCCGCCTTCCGTGGAGGCAGCAGGGAGTTTACCAAGCCGGTGCCTTTTGGTAAAACCGCGAGAACTCGCAGAGTCCAGTTACTGGGGAGCAAAGGGCGGAAATCACTGGGCGCCATGCTAGTTAGGGGCAGAGGCACTTCCGGTAGTTTCTGCGCCACCCTTGGCTGGCGCCGGGCGAATGGACTTCTAACGAATGCTTTGAACTTCTATAATTTAGTTGGTGTGACGCTGGGAAAATTAACCTCAGTGTGCCCATTTTTTTTCTTTGTAAAATGGTGGCAATAACACTATTTCCCATATGGCATTATATGACATGGAAGAGAATATAGTATTTGGAAAAGTTTACCAAACGAGTAGCTTCTGCAGCTGTATGGGATCACCTGCTGTTGGAGGATTGGGGGATCATCGATTAAAGTATCCTTATTCCAACATTTCTCAGTGCGACTTTCTCCTTACAAAAGTAAATAAAGAAATCCTGCTTTTTGCGGAAGACCGGGTCACAGCTGCAGCGGAGCTCACCTTTTGCCAGCTTCTGCTTATGACTCTCCGCTGCTCTCTCGCCAGCAGTCAGGACGCTGCACAGAAGCCTTGGCTTTTAAAGATACTGAAAGACACCGTGAAACCAGAGGTGGGATTCACCGAATTATAATTACTCTAAGCAGCCGTAACAATAAAAATCTTTGGAGGTGTGTGCTGACTTGATCAGAGGGGCGAAGGAATTTCAAAGTGAAAGGACCAGTTCAGATGCCCACCAAGACTCGAAAAAACTGACGGTGGTGAAAGTTCTAAGACTTGGGGCCCTTTTCAGATGAGTCACAAAGGATTCATTATCTTGCATAGTCCTGCTAAGATTGTTAAGCAAATTAATGCCATAAATTTTGAGTCAGGAGTTGAAGGTGTAGTCACCATTGCCAATGCTTAAATCAACCTTTTTAATAAATTGACAATCACTTGTTTTTTTTAAAAATAAAGAACTAAGTCCCAACTGCCAGAAATTGGAGGTGGGGGTAGAAATAATTAACATAGTTGTTAAACCAAGCTATGGACATGAAAAATCCTTAGGCACCGACAGCTACAGCAAGTATCACGCTACTATAGAAAGTATTAGGGAGGCGCAAACCAGAAGTGGGGATTTGGAGATTGAGGGCCACTGGAGACAATCACCAGTGCGTACAAATTAACCTAGTCATATCCTAAAAGTAAGTAATTTACAATAGATAGCAATTCCACAAAGGAATGAACTCCTCCCCAAAAGAACATTGTATCAGTACAATTTCTGCACTGGCAAGATGTAGCTCCACTGCTCACCAGTGACTATGCAGATGTTTCTTTTCACATACCTTTACCCATTGCAAAACAAAAGCAGCAGCCCTCCCACCCATCTGTGACTATGTAAATGCCTTTCTTTTTCTTTCTCCTTCTCCTAATAAACTTGTCTTTTTAAACATAAACTTCACCTGCCTGTGTCTGCACAAATGTCTTCGTCTCCTGGGTAAACTCTCTGTGCCGCTGAAAGGGGAACTCTGGTGAAACTTTTTCTCACAGGTAACCCAAGGATCCCATTCACTGAACCTAACACCTCTCCAAAATGACATCGCCAAAACAAACAACCTGCCTACTTAACTTGCCCTATTCTTTGGTTTTGCTGGTCAAGTGGTTGGAAATAGTTTATAGCAGCATATTGATCATAAACAATCATAAGCATTTACTGAAGTACATTTTAACTTATGACCCTGCGAGCATCAAATAAATCTCAACCTTTTCCCCGTTGCATAATCATTGTTGGCTTTCCCTACCCCCACAGTTTTCAGGTTAACTTTTAGGTAAAAATTGACTTATAAAGAGTGAAAGATTTGCATCTCCAAGAGTGTTTCCCTTCTCTGTGATTTGTATCATTTTGGAAAAGTTACAAGTCATAAGAAGAGCAAGACAATAGTCCACTTTGTTTTATTTAATAAAATGCATTAGATTTGCAGAGGAGTTTTTTTGCAGAAGTTTTTAACATAATCAAGCAATTGAATGAAATATACTAGATGTTATCTTTATCCTGGAAACAAAAAATTAGATGATGTTGTGACATTGCATTGTAGTACCTTCCGATTGTAAATGATTAAAAGATGCTAATTTACACTTTAAGAATCACAGCCCAATTTTCTGAAACTTTATAATTGTGATAATTTTAGCCTAACTAGGGTCCTGTATTCATTTAACCAAAGATTTTCATTTGCTAATATTTGAAAATATAATTTCCACTGAACCAAAATTGGTTCAGTCTTGAAACTTTTCTTCTTTGAGATAAATCTATATTGGTCAATCAGCTATTCCACAAATGAGTTAACTCTTTATTTTGGTTCTTCTCAGAATATGTGTTGGCATCTCAAAGTTTGGGACCCAGAACTGAACAGGAAATTCTAAGATATTAATCATGTAAGTTCATGGAGCTCTGTGGTAGGCAGAATAAGAGTTTTCAAAAGGTGTCCAAGTTTAAATCCTAAAATATTCTTCAAGTGTTACTTTATTTGACAAAAGGACGTAACAGATGTGGTTAAATTAAGAGTTTTGAGATAGGAAGATTATCTTGGAACGTCTGGTGACACCAATGTAAATCCTAAGTGTCCTTTTTTTTAAAAAAAGATTTATTTATTTATTTATTTTTATTTATACAAGCACTGGGTACAGTCGGAAGCACGGGAGGGTGAGAGAATGAGCCAGAGCCAGAGCGCGGGTAGCAGAGCAGGCAGAAGGACCGAAGTACACTGCTGAGGGGAGCAGCGGGCGGCAGGAGAGGTCTGCGCGCCATGTGGGACCCTCCTCCAGTGGCCAGGGAGCAGCAGGGGATCGAACCACGCTGCAGAGGCTGCGGGCAGCTTCGCAACCCAGCGCTCAACCGCTGAGCCACCGGTGAGGCCCCTAAGTGTCCTTTTAAGTGAAAGAAGGAAGCAGAGTCAGGGAAAGGTTTGATGTTTCTTCAGTGCTGGCTTTGAATAGGTGGGGGAACCAAGCCAAAGAATGGGGTTAGCCAACACTAAAGCTGGAAAAGAAAAGGGGACTCATTTCCCCTACAGTCTCAGGAAGGAATGCAGCCCTGTGAAGACCATGCTTTTAGCCTAGAGAAATCTGATTTGGACATTTGATTTTCAGAATTCTAACTCCTTGTAGCCCTTTCCATCCTCAGAGTTAACAGTAGAGCATCTTCAAGCTCTGATTCTCATCCCTGGTTCCTTCATCATATCTCCTTTTCACTCTCCTGTTTTTCTTTCACTAACAGGGCCCCTATGATTATACTGAGCCCATCTGGATAATACGGGCACCTCTTCACCTCAAGATCCTTAAATTAGGGCCTCCCCGGTGGCGCAGCGGTTGAGCACTGGATTGCGAAGCTGCCCGCGGCCTCTGCGGCACTGGTTCGATCCCCGGCTGCTCCCTGGCCACCGGAGGAGGGTCCCACATGGCGTGCAGACCTCTCCTGCCGCCCGCTGCTCCCCTCAGCAGTGTACTTCGGTCCTTCTGCCTGCTCTGCTCCCCGCTCTGGCTCTGGTGAATTCTCTCACCCTCCCGTGCTTCTAACTGTACCCAGTGCATGTATAAACAAAACAAACAAACAAACAAATAAATAAATAAATAAAACATGCCTCTATAAAAAAAAAATTAAAAAAAAATTAAAAAAAAAAAAGATCCTTAAATTAATCACATTTGGAACCCCCCTTTCCCACACAATGTAACAGTCATAGGCTCCAAGATTTAGGACATAGGCATCTTCTTCCAACCACATGCAGTTTGGGTGAAGTCAGTCAATAATGTCAAAGTGGAGAGAAATGAAGTAGAAGGAGTAGCTATGGACTTGATCATGAGGGGCCATTATATAAGTCAAGGTAAGGATTTTAGCTTTGGTTTCTCTGATGGAATGCCTTGCCAGCAGAAGAGTGATGATTACTTCTATTTTATAAAGATCATTTTGGGAACTGCATGGCAAACAGACTATGTTGGCAGTAGAGAGACCACCAGGAAGATTCCAGAAGTACTCTATAGTGGCTTGGATTAGAGTGGTGGAATAGACATGAGAAATGACTAAATGCAGGATATGTAATGAAAGTACAGAGAAAAGAGTTAAAGATGATTTTAAGACTTCCGGGTTGAACAACTGTGAATGGTACTAACAGTAGAATCAGAATGCTACAGGAGGTTTTTTTGTTTTAGAAGGAGCAAAAATAGGGCCTCCCCAGTGGTGCAGCGGTTGAGCGCTGGGTTGGGAAGTTGCCTACAGCCTCTGCAGCGCCGGTTCGATCCCCAGTGCTCCCCAGCCACCGGCGGAGGGTCCCACATGGCGCGCAGACCTCTCCTGCCGCCCGCTGCTCCCCTCAGCAGTGGACTTCGGTCCTTCTGCCTGCTCTGCTCCCCGCTCTGGCTCTGGTGAATTCTCTCACCCTCCCGTGCTTCTGACTGTACCCAGTGCTTGTATAAATAAATAAAAATAAATCTTTAGGGAAAAAAAGAAAAAAAAAAAAAGAAGTTGCAAAAATAAATTTGAAGTGCCTGGCAGACATCACGTGGAGGTGATGAGTAAGCAGTAATATATACCATAGACCAATCTGAAATTGAGGGAGAGAGATTAGGAGATAAATACTGGATTGTCATCACTCTTGAGAGGATTAAGAATTAGTGAAAGGTGACGATATTATTTATTATCCATATTATTCAAATTATTTCTTTTGACAATTTCAATCTTAGGAGAAAAGTTGGAAGGATAAAAGAACTTGTACATACCTTTCACTCAGATTCCCTAAATAGTAATGAAACAGTGTAATCCCCACAGAAAGGGGAGATTCCAGGTTCCATGCCCTACCTATTAAAGAGTAGAGCTGAGCACCAAGAGCCACATGAAACAGAGACATGTTTGCTTTTTGGCCTTGGACTTGTACCAGGGACTTGTGGGACATGGAAGGAGACACTTTGAAGAGACAGAGATGTGGGTGAGAGACCTGTGGGAAGAATGACAATGGCAGCTTTTATCTTGACTTGGGTTTTTTGTTCTTTTCCTTCTAGACTTGTCTGGTCCCTTCTGGCCTTTTCCTTTGGTTCCCAGCCTGAAGGTGCTTTAGACTTGCAGCAGGCTTCTAGGTCTCAGTGGCCCTGCTTTGAGCCAACTCTGTTTGGCTGGGCATTTACCTACCAGGTGATGGGTAACTTTGGATGTTTCATGGGGAAACTATTTTAACTATATTCTTTCTCTTCTCACTATTGCACACTAAGTATAATAAAGCTCTTTTCTATTGAAGGTCATATACACTAGAGTCTGCTTTGTGTTTACGCAGATAGTAGAATCTATTTAGAGCAGGCAGGTTTGGGGATTGTGGGGTGCCCAGGATTGTGGGGTGCCCTTCATTCTGCCCACAAACAGTAATACTTTTACTATAATTGCTTTGTCTTTTTTCTCTACATACTTAAGTATGTAATTAATTATGTAATTAAGTATGTAATTAACTATGTACATAATTAATATCTAAATATGTACTTTGTTTTTGGATATCACTAGTATTAGAAAGTTGCATACCTGATACCCCCATATTCCTAATAACTTCAGTGGATTTTTCTTACAAAAAAGACATTTTCTTCTATCAGTGGTTCTCAAAGTACATTTTAAGGGCCAGTAGTAACTATCACACAGAAAATATTAGAAAGCTAAATGTAGGGCCCCAATAGAGCAAATGAATTTGGTAACTTTGCTGCAGTTATGTGAGAAAATTAACATTACTTAAAAAATTATCTAGGGCCTCCCTGGTGGTGCAAGGGGTTAAGCACAGCACTGTGAAGCTATCTGTAGCCTCTGCAGCATGAATTTGATCCCCCAGCCAGCCAGTTAGGGAGCTACCTACATGGCACAGCAGACCTCTCCTGACTAGCCCGCTGCTCCCCTCAGCAGTGTATTTCAGTACATCTGCTTGTTCTGCTCCCCATTCTGTCTCTGGTGAATCCTCTCACCCCCTGCACCTCTGGCCTGTACCCCAGTTCTTGTATGCATAAACAAATCTTTAAAAAAAATTGTCTAGGGTCTCCCTGGTGGCACGAGGTGTTAAGATGCAACCTATGAAGCTATCTGTAGCCACTGCAGCACGAGTTGGGTCCCCTGCCAGGGAGATACCCACATGGTGCAACAGACTTCTCCTGGCTTGCCCGCTGCTCCCCTCAACAGTGTATTTCAGTTGATCCGCCTGTTCTATTTCCCGCTCTGTCTTTGGTGAATCCTCTCAACCCCCTCCCCCCCACACCTCTGGCCTGTACACCAGTTCTTGTATGCATAAAAAAATAAGTCTTTTAAAAAATTATCTAGCTTACAGGCATTATTGAATCTGTTACAGGACAGGGAGAGGGGCACCCCAAAACCCTTAAACCTGCCCACTCTAAATAGGTTCTGCCATCCACCTCATCAAGACAAAACAAACTCTAGTGTGTAAAATCTTCAATGTAAATGAACTTCAATACAATTAGTGTGTAAAACAGAAAAGGGGGAAAATACAGTTTCCAAATCAAATACGCAAAGTTACCCATCCCCTTGTGGGTAAATGTCCAGCCAAACAGGGTTGGCTCAAAGCACAGCCACTGAGGCCCAAAAGCCTGCATCTTCTGGTGGGGGCACATAGAAAAGGAGCAGAAACAGCCAAACAAGTCTGGAAGGAAAAGAGCAAAATCAAAATCAAGATCAACGCTGCCACTGTTAACCTCCCCACGGGGCTCTCACCCACATATGCTTCAACCATGACCACACATGCTTCAGTTCATGACCAAAAAGTAAGTGCAGCTTCTTCATATGTCTCTCTGCTCCATGTACCTTCTCCAGGTCCACTTCTTGTTCTCTATCCTTCCTTCCTTCCCCAGTCTCCTCTCCAGCTCCTCCTCCTCCCTCAGGCAGGGAACTTGGCACCTCCCCTTTCCCTGGGGACCACCCTCTTAAATTCCAGCAATTCTCCCAGTAATGCTTTTGATAGCAAAATTGCCAAATGGTGCTTCAGAGATTAAAAGGGACCATCAATTTTGCCAAGCCAAAGTGGCAAAGTATAATCATATAGGGCAGTTCTAGAGATATAATTTTTCTTAATAAGGACACTTAGAAATTTAGTGTTACCTAGAGAAGAGGGTCGGCAATGGAACTTACGGAGGGGTCTGGCAGAGAAGGCTCACTACAGCTGGGGAGAGAGAAGTATGAAGACTACTGCTAAAAAGAGGAAAGGGGCATCAGCAAGGAATGACGCCACCAGTTCTAGTATGAGGACAGTAATTGCCTATAGGATTTTGAAAGTGCAGTCCTTAGTGACCTCGAGAGAGGCAAATGGGCTCAAAGCAGCAAAATGAGAAAGTGCGCACAATTTTACAGAAAACGTTTAAAGAGGAGCAAAGATATGGAGTATATGAGATTAAGTAAAGTTTTGTTGCTTTTTTTTTTTTTTTTTTAACGTGAGACGTCTTACATTGTGTTGATAACTGCTGAGAAAAATTCTTTGTAGCAGTTTAGAGAGGTTTACAAATTACCAATGCCTGGGTCTCACCCCTGGAGAGTCTAATTTAATTGCTCTAGGGTGCTGCTGGCTTCACCGGGATTTTTAAAGCGGTCCCCAAATGACTTTAACATGCAGTCAAGACAGAGAACCAACGCTAGAAGAAGAAAACAACTGATGCAAGGAGGGATAATTGCCAGCCAGCACTTAAAAAAAAAAAAAATTGAAAGAACTCTGCATTATAATAATTTTCAGGTATTTATGAATGAGACCCCACGAGTGTATACACTACACTGAGTTCACCGCTAAGAGACCAAAAGCTCGACCTTACGTGGCCGAGAAGGGAAATGTTAGGGTGCTGCAGTCGGCACACGTGCACCGCACAGCTGCATTATCCTAGCTTCCCAGTCATGGTATCTAATTTTTCCTCCTACCGTCTGTAAGGCGAGTGAAGAAAGGTTTATGCAGGTAACTCCACTTGCAGAGGGACAAGACAGACGAGCAAAACAAAAAAAAAAAAACAAAAAACGACGTTGGCCCGGCTGCAGCGGACTTCGGACCAGCAACCCCGCAGCGCCCGGCCTCACCCCGGGCTCCCGCGCCGGCGGCCAGCGCGCACGCGCAGGAGGGCCCCGCGCGCCGGCCCCGGTCCCCGCGCAGGCCGGGCCCCGCGCTCCCGCCCCCTGCCGGCGCGGCTCCTCCTTCCTCCCGGCTTCTCCCGTGGCGGCCGCGCGGGAGGGAGGCAGAGATGGCCGATGAGATCGCCAAGGCGCAGACCGCCCGGCCTGGGGGCGACACGATCTTCGGGAAGATCATCCGCAAGGAAATCCCCGCCAAAATCATCTACGAGGATGACCAGGTGGGCTGGGGCGGGCGCCGCCCGGGGAGCCGCCGGCGGCGCGCGAGGGGAGGAGGGCCGGGCGGGGAAGGGCAGGGCCCGGCCGCTCCGCGTGGCCTCTGCCGCGGGCCCCGGCTCGGAGGCGGCCGGCCGGCGCGTGCCGGCGCTCCGGTTACGCGTTATCAGTCCGGGGCGCGGGCCAGGCCTCCGGGCGCCCGCGGGGCCCGCACCGTGGGGTTGGGGCGCGTGTGGGGGCGCCCCGGGGCGGGGGCTCCCGGCCTCTCCCCGGCCGCCTGGGGCCTCGCCCTGTCGGGAATCTCGCAATCTCGCCAGCGCTCTGCCTGACAGGAGAAACCCGATCGCGCCCGGACTCAGGCCCAATCTCCTCGATCTCCCGCGCTCGGCCGGCCTGCTGGGCGTTGTCGGGCGCCTCCCGGCGGGCTCCGAGCCTTGGGGCTGGGGGCGCAGGGCCTGGGGGGGCGCGGGGCCTTCCTCGTCGGGCCGCCAGCCCGTTACCCCGCCCCCGCCCCCGCCCCCACCCCCCCCCCCCCCCCCCACCCCCCCCCACCCCCATCCCCACCGCCGGTTCCGGCCTCGGCCTCGCACTCTGGAGCTAAGAAGTGGGCGAGCTTCTGGGTTTTGCTTACTTTTTGGCTCCTCCTAGTAAGATATTGCACCTAATGACAATAGTTCTCTTCAATACTTCTCTTCATATTTCACAGGAAGCAGTTTTATGCCAAGCGATGAAAGTAGTTGTTTTTTTTTTTAAGTAGTTTTTTTTTTAAAGATTTATTTATTTATGCATACAAGAGCTGGGGTACAGGCCAGAGATGGGGGGGTGAGAGGATTCACCAGAGACAGTGGGGAGCAGAACAGGCATATTGATTGAAATACACTGCTGAAGGGAGCAGTGGGCGAGACAGGAGAGGTCTGCTGCGCCATGTGGGTTGCTCCCTGGCCGGCTGGGGATCGAACTCCTGCCGCAGAGGTTGCGGATTGCTTCATAATGCAATGCTTAACCCCCTGTGCCACCAGGGAGGTGTAGTTTTGTTGACTTTCACCCGAAAGTAGTTTTTGTTGACTTCACTGTAGTGAAATTCTGTTTAAGAAAGGCCCGAGTTGATGTCCCTCAGACCTCTTGTATAAAATATTTAGTGGGCAGTTGTATTTATGGGTTTGGGTCTTCAGTAAAGCTGGACAGGAGGTTGACTTGTTTAGATAAAGTTTTGTAAGGTGATTTAAGAAATAAGGAGTATGAGAAACATTTTATGCTATGTATGTAGCATTCTTAACTTTAAAATGTTACCTAAAGTTTAATTAGGTCCTAACGGTATTTTAATTTTATAAGGCATTTAAATAACTCACCAGTAGGGAAGTTCTGTTGTTTTAGAAAATACATACTGGTTTTAAAATATTTTCAGAGCTTTTTATAAATGATTGTTGAAATAGGAACGTTTGAATCTCTGTAAGTCCAGTAATATCACAGCATGAAGCGATCTAAATGATACTGCATTTTGTATGGAGTACCAAATAGAATTAACCCTAACTCCCCGAGACTGTCTTGCATTGACAGATTCTGTTCAGTAGCTTCTACCTTGGTAAAGAACAAGAGATACAAAAAGCACTCATTTGGTATGTGATTTGTGTAAGTGCTACTTGCCATTTTCGTTTCTACAAAAGAGAATAGGTGTATTTTTTTAATTAGTTGAGTAAAGCAGGAAGAGATAAGTAATGATCAAATATATAAGTACAAAACTGATCACTGCAATAAAGGAAAAAACAGCATATTGCACAACCAGGGCTTCTGACCTAGGGAAGGTGGGAGTAATAAAGTCAAATATTTCCTTCAGAAACAATGCATATGTTGGGATCTGAGGAATGAATATCAGTTTAAATTAGGCAAAAGTTGGGGCCTCCCTGGTGGTGCAGCGGTTGAGCGCTGGGTTGCGAAGCTGCCCACAGCCTTGGCAGCGCCGGTTCGATCCCCGGCTGCTCCCCGGCCACCAGAGGAGGGTCCCACATGGCGCGCAGACCTCTCCTGCCGCCCGCTGCTCCCCTCAGCAGTGTACTTCCGTCCTTCTGCCTGCTCTGCTCTCCGCTCTGGCTCTGGTGAATTCTCTCACCCTCCCGCGCTTCTGACTGTACCCAGTGCTTGTATAAATAAATAAATAAATAAATCTTTACAGTGGAATTTAAAAAAAAAAAAAAATTAAAAAAAAAAAATTTGGGGTTGGGGAGAGATCATTGCATTAGAGGGGACAGTAGTTGAAAAACCAGGGTAGAGAGTTGAAGGACACTGTAATTAGAGCAAAAAGAGTTAGTTACATGAGAAGTGACTTGAAGGGTACACAAGAATTAGCATACCTAATTTCTCTTCATCCTTTGTATCTCAGTTTAAACGTTACTATCTCTGGCCTCCCTGGTGGCACAAGAGGTTAAGTCTCAGCACTATGAAACTATCAGCAGCCATTGCTGCATGAGTTTGATCCCCGGCCTGCCAGGGAGCTAACCCACGTGGTGCAGCAGACCTCTCCTGTCTCACCAGCTGCTCCCCTCAGCAGTGTATTTCAGAAGATCTGCCTGTTCTGCTCCCCACTTTGTCTCTGGTAAATCCTCCCCCCAGCCCGGCCTACACCCTAGTTCTTGTATGTATACATAAATAAAAATAAATCTTTTTTAAAAAAAATAAATGTTACTATCTCAAAAGTAGTTGTCCCTGACCATCTGCTCTGAATCAGGGCTTTCTGTGACAATCATTTTCAAATCACCCTTTAATTTTCCTTTGTAACATGTATGATCTGTGGTTAATTATAACTTTGTTTAAAGGCAATCTTCCCATTAGACTGCAAACCCCGTGAAAAGAGCTTGGGTACCACATGCATTATATGCATTTCTGACTTCTTAGCATTCATCTCATTGTCCTTTATGAGGCTAACTGAAAGAATGGTAAGTAAGCCTAGTGTACAAGATGATATACTAAAACCTTGATTTTTTTTTTTTCCCCCCTAGTGTCTTGCTTTCCATGATATTTCCCCTCAAGCACCAACACATTTTCTGGTGATACCCAAGAAACCTATATCTCAGATTTCTGCAGCGGAAGATGCTGATGAAAGTGTAAGTAAATTTACTAACACAATTTATTTTCTTGCTTTTTAAGCTGGGTGACTAAATTTTGTTTAATATACATTTGATATATTTGAAATACGTTGACATGTTGAAATTGAACCACAACCTCATACTTTGTATTAGAGAATATCTTTTTGACCTTGGTGTATAATTGATAAATGAAGAAGGTTGATTATTTGAGTACATTCAAAGTTGAGAACTTCCTTTCACTAAAAACTCCATAAAGAGAGACAGACCGCAGATCAAGAAAAGACATTTGTGACCGCTGATGTGAGGTGGGGAAGGTAGAGGAAGTTGTTGAGCAGTGAGTGTCACTTAGGAAGAGTCTTAGGTGGAGTATTATTTCTATTTTTTTTTTAACTTCTGGTAGGTATATAAATATCTGCTTTATTACTACTCTTTAAAGTATTCATATATGTTTTTATTTCATCTGTTTGTGGTACTTCACAATAAATTTTTTTAATGCTGACATTAAATGAATCTCTTGTCTCTTCAGTATTTTAATATTTACTTAGAGTACTATTTTAGGTGAGTTACTATTCCTGAAGCCTAGAAACTTCAGAGTATTAATTTTTAATTCATTATATGCATAAAAATCAGAGTTAAGGATAGAGAGCTTAATAGTAAGTTACCACCATATCAACAATAACAGAAAGGTAAAAACTTCAGAATGTTTAACATTTGGTATAATTACACAATCATGGCATTTTAAGGTCAGCGTTTCTTTCAAATGCACTTGTTGCCTGTAAAAGTAGATAGAATGTTAATTTTTACTTAGTTAACTTTCTAAATAGGAGTTTTAAGGTCAGCTCTTAAAACTTTTTTTTGTTAGGAAAGACTCATGAATATGCTTTAAAATTGCTGACTCATTTTAATCAGCATGAGTATGTTATGTATAATTTTAAAACTTTAAAATTAGTAATTTTTCATCATTGCAACCTTTATTTTAAAGTTAATAGAAGGCTCCCTGAATTTGAGCTTTAAGTTGTCATTAATTTTGAGGGCTGACAAGGGACTTAAGATGGTAAACCACTTTTATTCCTCTTTCACATCCTCATGACTATTCTAGTTTTCCTATAGACATTGCCAGATATACTTTAATATGTGCGATCTCATAGGATTCTGTGCAAATACCTAATGTCATTCTAGGGCCTCCTTTTTGCTTTTTGATTCACTGTATGAACAGTTTATCTTTATTTGCACATGTCTGCTTGTGTGTTACTTAAAGTAGGTATGGAGTAGAGAAAGAATGAATCTTAACCTACAAGAACCTTATTTAAGTTAACAAGTTTGCGGGCCTCCCCTGGTGGCGCAGCGGTTGAGTGCTGGGCTACAAAGCTGCCCGCAGCCTCTGCAGCGCTGGTTCGATCCCCGGCCACCGGAGAGGGTCCCACATGGCGCGCAGACCTCTCCTGCTGTCCGCTGCTCCCCTCAGCAGTGTACTTCAGTGCTTCTACCTGTTCTGCTCCCCACTCTGGCTCTGGTGAATTCTCTCACCCTCTCGTGCTTCTGACTGTACCCAGTGCTTGTATAAATAAATAAATCTTTTAAAAAAAAGAAGTTAACAGTTTGCTCCTTATAATTTCCCATAGCAAGGGAACAAGTGTGTGTGGTGGAGAGGTTAGCCTCTTTTCCTAACATTTAACAAGTAATCAGAAAAGGGAATTCTTGGTTCCTGTGGCAAGAAAAGAGGGAAGGGAGAGAGTCTTAAGTTTCTTTTCCCTTTGCTTTAGCAAGCCCCAGGGTAATGAAAGCTGCTGCTCATGTAGTAAAGTCATCTACAAGTCTGCAGCTTGTAGATGACTACCTTTGGCCATACTTTGATTTTTATGTCAGTGATACACTTGAAATCACCAAGAGACAATGTGTTTTTATATACCTTGTGTTCACTATTAAATGAATGAATCTAGTATTACCACACTTTGTTCATCCTTGCACTTTCAGAAGGGTTCTGATTCCCAGAGCAAGCTTTGCAGTCAGGGGAAGAAGAGGTAGAAGGCAGTGGAAAAGAGGGGTTTGTGTACCCTGATGGGTGAGATTCTTCTGGCTCAATGGGTAATGTTCTACCAAAGGGAGGAGATGATGTGATGTAAGACTTTACAATTAATCTGTATAAGGCAAAAATTGTGGTTCTTTTGTCTGGTTTAAATAGAAACATCAAGTTTCTCCCCGAATTATGAATACATGCTTATCAAAAAGCCAAATAAACAAGATTCCTATACAAAAAGGGGTCCAAGCAAAGATTTCTTCAATTACCATATAGCCCAGCAATTCTACTTTTAGATAATTATCTGAAGAAAACAAAAACAGTAACTGGAAAAGATATGCACTGCCATGTTCACTGTAGCATAATTTATAATAGCTAAGATATGGAAGCAAATTGAGTGCCTATCCATGGATAAATGGTTTAAAAAAATGGATCTTGAGGGCATTATGCTAAGTGATATAACTCAAAGAAAGACAAATGCCATATGATCTCACATATATGTGGAATCTAAAAAAGGATATATCAAGTTTATTTCAATTTCTTTCATTAATGTCTTATGATTTTCAGTGTACATAAACTTGGTTAAATTTATTCCTAGGTACTTTACATTTTATATACAATTGTAAATGAGACTGTTTTCTTAATTTCTCTTATTGTATAGAAATGCAACAGACGTTTGCATATTGATTTGTATCCTGCAACTTTGTTCAATTGGTTCATTAGTTGTAGTAGTTTTTGAGTTGAGTCTTAAGATTTTTTATATTTAATGTTATGTCATCTGCAAATAGTTTTACTTTTTCCTTTCTGTCAACTTGTGGTTAACTCAATATTTGACTTGGTAGTTTATTATTTAATGGCAATAGTTGTACATTACTTCTGCTTAACACAATTTTTTTTCCCCCCCAGCTTCTTGGACATTTAATGATTGTTGGCAAGAAATGTGCTGCTGATCTGGGCCTGAAGAAGGGTTATCGTATGGTGGTGAATGACGGTTCAGATGGGGGACAGACTGTCTATCATATTCATCTCCATGTTCTTGGAGGTCGGCAAATGAATTGGCCTCCTGGCTAAGCATGTTTCAGGGATGGTTTTCTCTTCTATAGGCAATGATTAAATTTGAAAATTCCAAGTGTACTGCTGAACAATACACTTTTGCCTATATATGGATTGAGGAAATAATGTTAAATATGCATACATAATAAAAGACATTGTTGAATGGTTTATGGTCTTTTGAATTCTCTATTATTTAAAAAAATGTATTTGTTGGAATGTGCGTACGTGATTCCTTATTTTTTTCTCCCCAAGGAGGACCCAACACATGAACATTATCAAAATAGACTGATCTTTGAAGACAAATTACAAGGTTTCATAACTTTAGATTTAGCATTGAATTAATCCTGTTAAAGTTCTAGTTCAGAAGATTTTCTAATTTAATTCTAATTTTTTAAGAGCAAAGGAGTAAATAATGTGTTTCACCTATACTATTGGGATCATTTGGAGGAGATCTATAGTTTTGTCTCAGAATCTTTGATGACCATGTAAAACCATATGTTGGTATTTCCTTATTACCCAATTTCTGATTATTTATTACAAAGACTTGAAAATATTTTACTTAGAATTCAGTTTCTAAATTGAAAACTCAATGTTTTCAATGTGTGTATGCACACTAGCAAAAATATTTAAGTTACGTATGAATCTGGTTGGAGCTGAAGGAAAATCCTAGTCTCTGAATTTTTTTTCAAGATTTTATTATTTTTTGTATAGTAGAATTGGAGTGGCAGGCCAGAGGTGTGGGGGAGGGGGGAGTGAGAGGATTCACCAGACATAGTGGGGAGCAGAACAGGCAGATTTACTGAAATACACTGATAAGAAGAGCAGCAGGTAAGACATGAGAAGCCTGCTGCTGCGTGAGCCATGTGGGTTAGCATCTGGGAGGAATTAAGGCCTCCTGCCATCAGCCAGTAATGTCTATCAGACATGAGTAATCACATTGGAAGGTGAAAGATTCACAAAAGAAGCACCTTGGGAGTGGGCTATTAACTGATGATAGAAATTGCTCCTTTGTTTTCTGTAATATATAGGATCATTTGGTAGAAAATTTTTGTCTATTTTCTTTCTGAGTGTATGTATTATAATTTATTCAGTTCTATAAATGTCTCAAAATAGCGTGACAAGTACATGTGTTTGTTTACTTCTAAATCTGGCTTCTTTGTCTCATACTAAAGATTTTTTTGATTTGTTCTTGAAAAAATGCAGTTGGTTTGAAACTGCATTGTACTTGGTTTGAAAATGACCTCAACACTGGCTTCATGTTACTTTTTTAAAATTCAAAATTGTTGACTAATAGTTTAAATATAATACAATCTACCCTTTAAAATATATAGCTTCATAAGTTCTGACAGATGTATATGGTCATGTATTCATCACCACAGTCAAGATAAAGGATATTTTAAGGTAGAAGAGCTAAATAAAACTCTTCTCCAAAGAATACATACAGATGATCAATAGCCACATGGAAAAATGTTTCACTTGTCATCAGAGAAATGTAAATCAAAACCACAATGAGATACAACCTCATACCTGTGGAGCTTCCATATGATCCAGCAATTCCACTCCTAGGTATTTACCCAAAGGACACAGAAACATCAATTCTAAAGAGTACCTGCACCCCTATGTTTATAGCAGCACTATTTACAATAGCTAAGCTTTGGAAACAGCCCAAATGCCCAAAAATAGATGACTGGATCAAGAAGATGTGGTACATATACACCATGGAATATTACTCAGCATTCAAAAAAGATAAACACATGCAATTTGCAGCAACATGGATGGAGCTGGAAGGGATCATGCTCAGCGAAATAAGCCGAAAGAAAAAGAAAAATACCGGATGGTCTCACTCATAGCAGGAATCTAGAAAACTTAAATAAGGGACCAGGAAAAAGAATAACTATAAGAAAGAAAATATCAAAATCAACAAACAACTATGAACAAGAGACACTCTATGGGGGTTAGGGGGTGGGGAGGGGAGGGATTGGGGTCAAAATAAGGGGATTGCAATTGTATGGGGAATATAAAAATATAATTTATTTTAAAAAAAAGACAACGTGCTGGGCGGGGGAGTGTGGAGAAAAGGGAACACTTTCACTATTGGTGGGAATGTAGACTGGTCCAACCCCTATGGAAAACAGTATGGAAATTTCTCAAAATATTAAAAATAGAACCTAAATGAGGGACCAGGAAAAAGACTAATTATAATAAAGTAAAAATGAAAATCAACAAGCAACTATAAACCAGAGACACACTACGGGGGAAAGGGGAGGAGGGATTAGGGTCAAAATAAGAGGGGTGGGAACTGTATGGGGACTATAACCAAGATGAAAATGTATACATTGTGCAAAAATGAAAAATGATGTAAAAAATATATAAAATAAAGTTAAAAATAAATAGAACTACCATGTGATCCAGCAATTCTAAGTATCTTTGCAATGAACATAAAAATACTAATTCAAAGGGATATATGTACTCCTAGGGATATATGTACTCCTATGTTCAATGCAGCACATTTAAAATAACCAAGTTATGGATTTATATATATGTGTGTGTGTATATATATATATATTACAAAAAACATGAAAAAGATGAATTGTTGCCATTTGGGTGAAGCAGAAAAGTCACATTGCAAAGGGGGGCGCATGGGTGGCAGGATGGGAGGGAGATAGAGCCATTAAATAGTCTACCTACCACCACAGTATTGACTCAGTTACTTTCTCTTATGCTGTTAAAGATAAATTGCACTGGTGTCTTTGTATGACTTGAATTCATAGTTTCTAAGAGAAAACAAGGGCTCTAAAGACAAATTTCATAAGCTGCAGGATAGCCTATAAATGACTGACCAGCTTTCACTGTGGTGAGGCAATATGGTATTCAGGGTAGCCAGTGTGTAAAGAACTCAGACTCTTAGAGAGACACTGGCTATGATTGAAGCTATGAAGCTTTCCCAAAGGGGACAATACAGGCATTTTGCTTGACTGGTACAGTGCTGAAATAAAGCAGTAGTGGGTTGCAAATATCAGCTTATACTTCAAGTATGCAAGTAATACATCTCTTTCTGATTTTCTGTAACAATTTATTTTCTGCTTTGAGTCTGATCCACCATAGTGGAAGTTTTTTAATTCTAGTCAACTTACAGGTCATACATAATTTATGGCATCAGACAGGGCCATTGAGTCCTTTTTGTCATCAGTCTCTACACTGTACCTGAGACTTTTGTTATCTCATTTAATCCTTGCGCTCTGATCCCTGCAGGTTGACATTTGTGATAATGATGACCATAATTATGACAGTAATTATGGTATTTTATAATATCCAGAGTAACTGCTAGTACCTGCTATGAGAAAGGCACTGAGCAATATGTATTAATTATCATATTGCCAAAAAAGGAAGCAAATTTCTGCACATCTGTCATATCCTGTAGCATTGGCTCAGAGCACTGTATGTTCAGTGGACAGTTCTAATTATCCATATTGAGCATTTGAATCCCTTGTATCCCAAGAGAGAAGCTGAACAAATACTACTATTCTAGCTTCTCTGCCAGTTGGGATGGAGGCCCTTGATTTAGGCTCTGCCAATCAGATATGCTTATCTGGGATTTTGACTTTGAAACTAATGACACAAAGAAACAAAGACAGTGGAGACTTTTATTTTTTCAGTGGGGAATTCTTTCTGGTGTCAGTGGCAGCCCTTTCCACTTGGCAGGCAAAACAGTGCCTGTGGATGCCAACTGTTGGATCTAGTATTGAATGCTAAGGATGATAACAGAGCAAGCTGTGGTTCCTCTGTTTGGTGTCAGCAGTAGCTGTGCCCCAGGAGACTAGCTCTCTGGGTCTGATTTTGGCTGTCGTATTATCTGATGAACTTTTTTTTATTCTTGCCTATCTTCCCATTTAATCTTTGACCCATTCATTAAACGTTTCAAGAAATTAACTGCTGGAGAAAATTTTTTTTTTTTAAATTTACATTTTTTTTTTTTAAAGATTTATTTATTTATACAAGCACTGGGCACAGTCAGAAGCACAGGAGGGTGAAAGAATTCACCAGAGCCAGAGCGGGGAGCAGAGCAGGCAGAAGGACCGAAGCACACTGCTGAGGGGAGCAGCGGGCGGCAGGAGAGGTCTGCGCGCATGTGGGACCCTCCTCCGGTGGCCGGGGAGCCGGGGTGGCCAGGGAGCAGCCGGGGATCGAACCGGCGCTGCAGAGGCTGCGTGCAGCTTCGCAACCCAGCGCTCAACCGCTGCGCCACCAGGGAGGCCCTGCTGGAGAAAATTTTACTGGAAATGGCCATAGGCAATTGATCTTTAGGAAAAGGTGGGGTGGTGGTAGTGGAGAATTGAGTTATTTGATTCTATTCAGGATGAAGGCAGGGAGAATCCAACTAATATTAATGAAATGGATTTTAACAATGCAGGGCAAATAACAGCACAATAGCTAATTAAATCATCCCATGTATGTACTAATAGAAGGCGAGGTCTGAGGTTCCAACTGCTACAGCCACCGGGCAGTTATAAAGGATAGGGCTGTGGAGGTGTTATGACTGTTTCTAATAATGCTAAACATCTTAAAGGTTAACAATGATAAGCTAACATTTCTAAATTATTAGATCAAGTTATCAGTTGAAAAACAAGGACTTTCTGTAATTCTGCTATAAAGATCTGTAAGAGATTTTAAGACATAAGCTCTTGAAGCTGAAGAACTAAAACAGGTGTAAGCCAAACACATTTAATCTTCAGGATGGCCACATTTTATAAGTCTAATTTATAGCCTGTCTAATCTCTTATGAAGCAATCAGGAAAGAGTGATATAAGCTATATTGGAAAATTTGGCTAACTCAGCCCATTCCAAATTCCCAACCTACTCAAGTCTCCCTTGTCAGCTGAAACACCCTCTCCTCTTATGTGGAAGTTTTTTTTTTTTCCTTTTTATTGAGGTAACATTAGTTTACAACACTATAGTTTTCAGGTATATAGTTAGTTACTTCGGTGACTATGCGTTTTATACCACACCCCCCACCAAGTGTCTGATTACCATCTCCCCACTAAGCTATTCCTTCTACCTGCTTCTCCTTTGGTAACCACCATTTTGTTGGCAGAGTCAAAGGGTTTATTATTATTGTTTGTTTGATAGTTTTGCTCTTCTTTACATTTCACAAATGAATGAAATCATATAGTATTTTTCTTTCTCCTTTTGACTTATTTCAATTAGTATAATTTCTTCAGTCACTTAGTATAATTCCTTGTGGTGAAAATGGCAAGATTTCATCTTTAATTTTTTTAAGATTTATTTATTTGTGCATGCATATAAGAGTTGAGGTGTAGGCCAGAGATGTGGGGGGTGAGAGGATATACCAGAGACAGAGTGGGGAGCAGAACAGGCAGACTGACTGAAATACATTGCTGAGGGGAGCGGTGGGCGAGACAAGAGGTCTGCTGTGCCATGTGGGTTAGCTCCCTGGCAGGGGGTCAAACTCATGCTGCAGCAGCTATGGAGAGCTTCATAGTGCTGAGACTAACCCCTTGTGCCACCAGGGACGCCCTGATTTCTTCTCTTTTTAATGGCTGAATAGTAGTCCATTGTGTATGTAACCTATTATCAATCCATTTATCTGTCATCAGGCACTTGGGTTTTGTTTCCATATCTTGACTATTGTAAACAGTGATGCAATGAACAAATGGGTGCATAAACCTTTTCAATTTAGTGTTTTCATGCTTTTTGGTTAAATCCTGTAAGTGGGATTACTGGAACATATATTAGTGACACCATCCTGTATTTATCTTTCTCTTGAGTCATTTCTCTTAGCATTAGCCCTTCATGCTCCATCCATGTTTCTACAAAAGGCATATGTTTATCTTTTTTGATTGCTGAATAATATCCTAAAGTGTATATATACCATATCTTCTTGACCCACTCATCTGTTCTGGTGCACTTAGGTTTTTTCCATAATTTAGCTATGGCAAATAGTGCTGCAATAAACATGGGAGTGCCAGTTGCTTTTCAAATAAGTGTTTTTGAATTTTTTTTGGTAGATACCTAGAAGTTGCATTACTGGATCAAATAACAGATCCATTTTTAAAGTTTTGAGACAATTAGATTATCAATTTTAGACATTTCTTTTTAAATATATGTACTCAACACTGTGTTTCCTCTAAGTATTGCTTTCATTGCATCTCACACATTTTGGTAAGTTTTCCTTTTGTTTATAATTTGATAAGTTTTCCTTTTGTTTATAATTTCTCTTGAAATTTTTTCCTTGACCCATATGCCATATGTCCATAAGAATTTTTGAATTAACTTCTGCAAAGAAGTTAGTTAGAATTCTTAATTATATAATAAGAATACATGACTTTGAATGATCAAAATTACTTTGGAATCAAAGTAATGGCAGTTGAGAACTATAATATTTTCACTCTTGTTCTGCACATGACACTTAAATTCCTCCAAGTATTTTTGATGACTATTACAAAATATATCCTGGCACTAGTCTTTCTCTTAATTCACCTCTATATGGTTTATGTGTCATGCTGTAAACAGCATCAGCAGTTCCTGAAAATAAAATAGGCCAAAGGCCATTATTCTCTCTAAAATTTATAAGAATTTTATTTTTCAGAAGAACAGTTTATCCTTTTTAAATTGTGTTTTGTTACATTACACTACATTGGCTTCACTGTGGGTTTCGGACAGCATTAGGCTTTTGCTAGAACACGCTTTGTTATCTAATAAAACATTTTTATAGAACACATTTTTGTTACCGAAATAAACTAGGATGTACTTCATGAGGTCTTTTTCTGGATTTTTGTTAATGCTGTGAATTTCTTTAATATCTACTATTAAAAAAAGGAATTACATTGATTTTCATTTCTACAGTTCAGGATATTCAGTTATTCTTTTCCTATTAACTTATTTCACAGAAAAGAAAGGAATAAATTCCCTTCCTATTGGATATAAAGAAGTTCTGCATGTAGCATAAATTTTGTAGTTTATTAATTTAATGTGGTTATAAATGACTTCAGGGAAAGAATATGGATATCAGAGAATGTTTGTGATTGCTACATGGAGGATATAATCCTTCTTAAGAATGAAATGAATGTGCTATGTCTTCAAGATTCAGCTATTTGTTGTGTTATGCACCTACCCCTCTTCATTTGCTGGGTTTTGGACAACTTTAGAAAATAAAACAAAGATTAACTATGGAGACCAGCATTTTGATTATATATCTATTATTGGTAGCAATGAGACTGGAGGATGTAGCTCTAGGTCTGATGTGCTATTGCTTATTCTAAATCCACAATTAAGCAGATTTAACCCAGAAGGGTTAAAAGGAAAGGGGAGACACAATGGATGTGGGCTTCTTGAGAGTAGCTGGTTTGTAACATGAAGAAAGGTGCAATTGATAATTTCCATTAGTGGTTATTTTCCATAGGCCTGCCAACAAGATAAATCACTCCACCTAATTTGAGATGGAATGAGAAAAGGCGAGAGTGTGCTTAAACAAAACTTTCTTCATGGAAGTCAGGAGTAGAGGAAAGGAATTTCATTCTTACATTTCCCCAGATTTTTTAATCCACTGATTTAGCTACTAAGCCCATGTCAATCACAAGCTGTTTGTTTTGTCCCCCCTTCATAAAACTACTACTTCTCCCAAATCAAACATTTCTCTTCTGGGCTTCATTTTGGGAATGTTGGCAGAATTTGGATTTTGGCCCCAGAAGTTTAGGAGATGGAAGATAAAATGTATTAATCAACAGCAAAGACATTTCATTTCAAAGGCTGTTCAGTCACATTACCTAAGTCAATGTAGCAAAGGTTCTGCATGAGACTGAGTGAAAACAATAATATACTCTTTTTTTTTTAAGACTTATTTATTTAGTTATACAAGCACTGGGTACATTCAGAAGCACAGGAGGGTAAGATAATTCACCAGAGCCAGAGCGGGGAACAGAACAGGCAGAGTGACAAAATACACTGCTGAGGGGAGCAGCAGGCAGCAGGAGAGGTCTGCGTGCCATGTGGGACCCTCACCCGGCAGCTGGGGATTGAACCAGAGCTGCAGAGGTGGCTGGCAGCTTTGCAGCCCAGCACTCAACCACTTCGCCACCAGGGAGGCCCAAAAAATAATAATATGCTCTTAGTAATAAAAATCCAGAAGCTAGGAACTGCTTCAAATGTGAATATAAATCCTTTCTCATTATTAAATTCCAGGGTAGAAATTAAAGTGTAAAGATGAATCTCTTTGTAAATTTAAGTCCAAATTTAAAGTCCCACATCAAAATTTCTTGTTCTTCTGAATTAGAAGTCCAAAGTTTAAAACTCAAGTCTCATTAACCTGTTCTCTAAATTTTCTTTTCCTCCTTGGTTTTAGGCAGCAACCAGATGCTTGAGTGGATCTGTGTTTCCCCTTTCATAGCAATGGTTTAATCTGGCTTTCATGCTTTTTATAGACTTTGAGAAATAATATTTACTCAGAGCCAAGTTTCTCCTGGGTCTTCCATTCTAAAAAGTTCAAAGATTAATATTAAAAAAAAAAAAAGGGCTATTAACCTAAATGCTCTAAAACAGATGACTGGATCATGAAGATATGATATATACACAATGGAATACTACTCAGCAATCAAAAAAAATAAACTTATGCCACTCGTGGCAACACAGATGGAGCTGGAAAGGCTGGTGCTAAGCAAACAAGTCAGAAAGAAAAAGATAAATATCAGATGGTTTCACTTATATGTGGAATATAGAAAAACCAAACAAAGGGTCAGACAAAGATCACAGATATAAGGAATCTAGGGTGGTAGGGGGTGAAAGTACTGAGGGGTGGCAAATGTGGGAGGGGGAACTGTACAAGGGAATATGGTGATGTACTATGGGTGCTTTGGTAGTTCAAAAACAATGGTGGCCACACCTTAGGAGAGAAACCATTCATTGTCCACAAATTAACTATGTAAGAAAAAAGTACTACATTTAAAAATTAAAAAAAAGTTTAATCTTTGACAAAGGTGCTATGGTCACAGGATGGAGAAAAGATAGCCTTCTTTTTTTAATTGAAATATTTTATTTTATATAATTCTTACATCTTTTTTCATCTGTGCACAATGTATGCATTTTTGTTTTGGTTATATTCCCCATACAATTGCACCTCCCCCCTTATTTTGACTCTAGTCCTTCCTTTCCCCGCACTCCCTCCTCCCTCCTCTGTACTAATCAATACAAAGATAGCCTTCTTAATAAACGTTTCTGGGGAACATGGATAGCTGCTTGCAGAAAAAATAACGTAAGATCTATATTTAAGTCGATACACAAAATTAACTGAAAATGGGTTAAAGCACTGGATGTAAGAACCAAAACCACAAGGTACTGGAAAGGAAATATAGACACACATTGCAGGACATCTCCCACAAAGATGTATTTGGGAATACAACCCCAACAACAAAAATAAACAAGTGAGGCTACATCAAATTGAAAAGCTTTTGTATCTTTTTTTTTTTTTTTTTTTTTTATAGAGGCATGTTTTATTTATTTATTTGTTTGTTTGTTTGTTTGTTTATACATGCACTGGGTACAGTCAGAAGTCCGGGAGGGTGAGAGAATTCACCAGAGCCAGAGCGGGGAGCAGAGCAGGCAGAAGGACCGAAGTACACTGCTGAGGGGAGCAGCGGGCGGCAGGAGAGGTCTGCGCGCCATGTGGGACCCTCCTCCGGTGGCCGGGGAGCAGCCGGGGATCGAACCGGCTTCACAACCCAGCTGCTGCGCCACCGGGGAGGCCCCACATTTTTTTTTTAAATAACTGCGTGAAATTCTACCAAGTGAAAACTAATTTGGGTTAATGAGCATTATTATTAAAAATTTGAAAATCTAGTGTTAAATGACTACTCAGTCATTTTGAGTCAGGATGAATCTTTCCTTATTCTTTCTATGTCACATGGAGCGCTGCTCTCGGGAAGATCTACCTCAATTATTTAGATTACATATAAAATCCATGAATTAATGCACATTATAGAAATATCAAACAACTTGAGTATATGTAGAGTGAAATGCAATACATTTTTGTATTGGCAAAACCCTACCCCTCCCCATAGCACACATAAAGAACAGAAGAGAGGATGAAGCTATTTATGAGGTTAACTGCCAAACAGAAGGAAACAAAGTGTGCTTAGAGTTTGTAATCTCATGAATACTACATACAACCACTTGAAGACTTCATTCATATGTGGTATATAAAGAAACTAAACAAACAAATGAGTGAAATAAAACAAAAATAAACTTAGACTTTGAAATAAAACGATAGACAAAACTTGTGGCCAAGACAAAGGTCTTCTTTTTTTTTTTTTTTTGCATAGGAAATCTGGGTGTAGGCCCGAGGTGCAGGGGTGGGTAGGGAAGGGGGGGAGAGGTATGTGTGAGAGGATTCATCAGAGACAGAGTGGGGAGTAGAAGAGGCAGATTTCCTGCTGAGGGGAGCAAGGGTGAGACAGGAGAAGGGATTGAACTCAGGCCATAGAGGTGATAGCGCTGAGACTTAACCCCTAGGCCACCAGGGAAGCCCCAAGACAAAATTCTTTAAGGTTAATTATATGTATATATTCTCCTCTTGCACGCATGACTGTTCTTTCTTTCAGGCTTTGATAAGTGATAACTAACTACTAAAGGTTATAACCTGCAAACTTAAGTATATAGAACAGACTTTATAGGAAATTGCAGTTTGCTCTAGGGAACTGTATTTCTGTATTCATTCAGAAAATTAGAAATTTTCACTAAACTTGTGATAATTAATCCATTAATATGATCTCACATAATTAATACATTGATTTATAAATTATATAAATTATCATGCCAGTTAATAGAAAATATGTAGATTCAAATCATGAATATTGTTTTTACCTTGCTAGTTGGACATATAAAAACTTTTGGCATCTCTAGATTTGCTCTCTAAAACAAAATATAAAATTTTATTCTTGGGCCTCCCCGGTGGCGCAGCGGTTGAGCGCTGGGTTGTGAAGCTGCCCGCAGCCTCTGCAGCGCCGGTTCGATCCCCGGCTGCTCCCCGGCCACCAGAGGAGGGTCCCACATGGCACGCAGACCCCTCCTGCCGCCCGCTGCTCCCCTCAGCAGTGTACTTCGGTCCTTCTGCCTGCTCCGCTCCCCGCTCTGGCTCTGGTGAATTCTCTCACCCTCCCGCGCTTCTGACTGTACCCAGTGCTTGTATAAATAAAATAAAATAAAAAAATAAATAAAAAATAAAACTTTAAAAGAAAAAAGAAAAAAAAATTAAAAAAAAATTTTATTCTTTATCAATAGGTATGAAAGCACCATAAGAATTCACTCTCCTACTGATGAGTATTTAGTTTGGTTTCTATATTTAACTATTAAAATATCCCTTGATAAACATCTTTGTATACATTTTTGTAAATATGTGCAAATATATGTAAATAGGAGAGACGTTTGTAATTGGAATTTCTATGTCAAAACATGCATTTCACATATTGAAAGAGAAACTCTTCTCTTTAAAGGCTTTATATTTCCAGCAATATGTGAAAATATCTGTTATCCAGTGTGATCGCCAACACTGCATTTGAAAAAAAAGATAGCTTTACTGAAATATAAATTACATACCATTAAATCCATCCACTTAAAGTGTAAAATTCAATTTTTTGTCTATTCAGAGTATATAGCACATATAAAACCAGTACTATAGTCTAATTTTAGAACATTTTCTTCACTCCAAAAGAAGCCTTATACTCATTAGTAGTTACCCCCAATTTTTCCCTTCTCCCAGTCTCTTAGTTTTATAGATTTGCCTGTTCTGGATATTTCACACAAATTGAATCCTAATATATGCTCTTTTGTGTATGGCTTTTTTCACTTAGCATGTTTTCGAGGTTCATCCATAGTGTAGTTTGTATCAGTACTTTACTCCTTTTTATGACTTAATACTTCTTTGAATGCACCACCTTTTTTTTTTTTTTTTTAATTTTCTAGAGGCATGTCTTATTTATCTATTTGTTTGTTTGTTTGTTTTTGTTTATACATGCACTGGGTACAGTCAGAAGCCGGGAGGGCGAGAGAATTCACCAGAGCCAGAGCAGGGAGCAGAGCAGGCAGAAGGACCGAAGTACACTGCTGAGGGGAGCAGCGGGCGGCAGGAGAGGTCTGCGCGCCATGTGGGACCCTCCTCCGGTGGCCGGGGAGCAGCCGGGGATCGAACCGGCGCCGCAGAGGCCGCGGGCAGCTTCGCAACCCAGCGCTCAACCGCTGCGCCACCTGGGAGGCCCTCCTTTTTTTTTTTTTTAAAGATTTATTTTTATTTATTTATACAAGCACTGGGTACAGTCAGAAGCGCGGGAGGGGGAGAGAATTCACCAGAGTCAGAGCAGGGAGCGGAGCAGGCAGAAGGACCAAAGTACACTGCTGAGGGGAGCAGTGGGTGACAGGAGAGGTCTGTGCGCCATGTAGGACCCTCCTTCGGTGGCCAGGGAGCAGCCAGGGATCGAACTGGCGCTGCAGAGACTGCGGGCAGCTTCGCAACCCAGCGCTCAACCGCTGCGCCACTGGGGAGGCCCTGAATGCACCACCTTTTAAGTAGTTATCAGTTGGTGGACATTTAGTTTTTTTCACTTTTTGGCTATTATGAATATAATGCAGTTATGGATACTCGTGGACAAGGTTTCTGAGGACCTAAGTTTTTGTTTCTCTTAAGTATATACCTAGGAGTGGAATTGCTGCACTGAGTCATACAGTAATTGTATTTATCTTTTTAAGAAAGTGACAAATTGCTTTCCAAAGTGACTGCACAATTTTTACATCCTCATCAACACTTGTTATTGTCTGTCTTTTTGATTCTAGCTATGCTGGTGGGTACAAAGTAGTATTTCATTGTAATTTGATTTGCATTTTCCTAATTACTAGTGATATCAAGTCTCTTCACTATGTACTTTTATGCCATTTGCCTATCTTTGGAGAAATGACTATTTAGATGCTTTACCTAGTTTTAAACTGGGTGTTCTTTTGCTAATGAATTGCAAGAGTCCTTTATTCTGGATACAAATGCCTTTTAAGAGAGAGATAATATTTGCAAATTTCTTTTTACCTATTCTGTGAGTGAGTAGTATTTTTACTGCAACATTGCATTTTTTCAGTCTTTCGATTATCATTAATCTGATAGGGAGGAAAAGGTGTCTCACTGACCATTTGGTATTACATTCTCCCCAAATAAATATATACATTTTTATATATTAGTTAGTATTCGTGCTTCTAATGTATGTCAACTGGTTTTGTATTTTGCCAACTTTTCTATAGTTGCTTCTTTTGTTTAAAAAAATCCAATCAACAAATATTTGAATATAATAATCTATTATGTCATTTTTCTTTGCCAGTATATCTGGAAGTTAGTCTGGAATATTTCAGCCTCTCAAGGGATTTCCCTAGAATGTGGCACCCAGCTCCCTATCAATCTAAAGGATGCCTCCTTCTTTCCTTATTTCCCCTGAGGAGGTGCACAGGGAGACCACATCCTAGCTAGTCTATCTTCACACAAAGAATCCTTCTTACCTCACCCCAGGTGCACTGGGGAGTCCGGGTACCAACAGGAGGGCAGATGTTTGGTGGGCAGAACTCCTTAAAAAAAAAAAGTTAGGAAGTTTATTTTTGAAAATAGAAAATACATAAAATATATATATATATATATATATATTTAAAGATTTATTTATTTATTTATACAAGCACTGGGTACAGTCAGAAGTGCGGGAGGGTGAGAGAATTCACCAGAGCCAGAGGGGAGAGCAGAGCAGGCAGAAGGACAAAGGTACACTGCTGAGGGGAGCAGCGGGCGCAGCAGGAGAGGTCTGTGCGCCACGTAGGACCCTCGCCAGGTGGCCGGGTATTGAACCAGCGCTGCAGAGGCTGCAGGCAGCTTCACAACCCAGAGCTCAACCACTGCGCCACTGGGGAGGCCCTAAAATATGTATTTTTTAAGATTTATTTATTTGTACAAGAACCAGGGTACAGGCCAGATGTGCGGGAGGGTGAGAGGATTCACCAGAGACAGAGCAGGGAACAGAACAGGCAGACTGATGAAATACACTGCTGAAGGGAGCAGCGGGTGAGACAGGGAGGTCTGCTGTGCCATCTGGGACCCTGGCCAGCCGGCTGGGATCGAACCTGCGCTGTAGAGGCTGCGGACAGCTTCACAGCACTGCTCTCAACCACCTGCGCACCAGGGGAGGCCCTGAAATAGATATTTAGATCATGAGGCTTTGCTAGGAAAATGAAGCTACATTTAGACTGCGATTTTCAAACACAATTTGCCAAAGACTGAAGGTATCAAATCTAAACAATAGGTATTGTTTGCCCCTAAATCAATAAAAAAACAAATAAAAATGAAACCCAGGCATAAAGTAATGGCTTGCAAGACCAAACCATCGTGGTCACTTGGGAACTCTCACAGAAAAGTTTAGATTTCAGGAACAGAATTTCATTACATAGGTCAGATTAGTAGGGCTGGTGGAGAAACTTTGGAAAGTAGAATCATTTCAAGTTCATTTTGGGTCTACAGATAGGACTTAATAGTAATTAACTTACTTTAAAATAAGCCTGCTTTAATAAATAATGCAGGGCCTCCCCTGGTGGCTCAGGCGGTTGAGCGCTGCGTTGTGAAGCTGTCTGCAGCCTCTGCAGTTCGATCCCAGCCGGCCAGAGAGGGTCCCATATGGCGTGGCAGACTTCTCCTGTCTCACCCGCTGCTCCCCTCAGTAGTGTATTTCGTCAGTCTGCCTGTTCTGTTCCCAGCTCTGTTTCTGGTGAATCCTCTCACCCTCCTGCACATCTGGTCTGTACCCTGGTTCTTGAATAAATAAATAAATAAATCTTTTAAAAAAATAAATAATGCAATAAAAATTATGCCTTGTTTTCATAACAGCATCATTTTCCTCCCAATATTGAAAAATAGTAGAGAGAAAATATGTCATTGTCAGATGTAGTAGTAACACTTTCTGCTTATTCTGTCTTCCTATTATTTCTAAATCAAGATTGATCTGGCTAATGATTTTTCTTCAGAGTTGTAAAACAAACATTTTTGTGTAACTGAAATAAACACTGCCCTGGGAGTGAGGATACTTGGACTCAGATTTTGACTTTCACTTGAGGAGGGTCTGGGGTCTTACTTATTCACCTCACAGTCTTTGAGGTGTCTTGTGTACCATGAGGTTCCTTGTCTCCCTCAGGGCATTGTATAAGGAGAAATAGAAAACATTTGTGAAAGTCCTTTGAAAGTATAGAGTTATTATAAAGGAAATGCAAATCAAAACCAAATGAGATATTACCTCACCTCTGTGGGAACAGCGTATACCAAAAAGACAGGAAACAAGTGTTGGTGAGGATGTGACAAAAAGGAACATTCCTTTTCCATTGGTGGGAATGTAAACTAGTGCAACCTTATGGAAAATGGTATGGAGGTTCCTTCAAAAACTAAAAATGAAAACATCATATGATTTGGCAATACCAATTCTAGGAATTTATCTGAAGAATTTGAAAACACAATTATTGGAAGATTTATGTAACACTATGTTCATAGCAGCATTATTCACAACAGCCAAGGCATGTAATCAAACTGAATGCCCATTGATGGGTGACTGGATACAGAAAATTGTGTGTGTGTGTGTGTATAGTTTATATATATTGTTAATAGTATATATAAATATATAGTTTATATATATATATATATACAACCATATATACACACATACATACGTATACTCAATGGAATATTACTCAGTTATTTAAAAAGATGAAGTAATACTTTGGGAAAAATATGGAGAAATATTGAGGTAATTATGCTAAGTGAAATACATCAGAAAGTGTGAAGACTATTATTGGATGTTTTCATTTGTGAAATATAAATAACCAGAGAAAACAAAATGGCAAAGCATGATAACAATACTCTTAATTAGAATCTGTGAAAACTATGGAGATGACCACCAAGAAGGGGGAGGAGAGAGGGAAAACATAAAAGACGTAAGGTGAGAGTATTGACACTGGAGCTGTGGTGGAGGGTAAGTGAAGCCTTTGCATGTGTTGATGTGTGAACATGTACTCCCAAACTTATATGTATTTGCAAACTTATATGTATTTCCATCAATAAAATTTTGATGGAAAATGTTATCAATAGTTAGTACAGGGGCCTCCCTGGTGGCATTGGGGTTGTCTCAGTGCTATCATGCTAGCACCCATCTATGGCTTGAGTTCAATCCCCCTTCAGGGAGTTAACCCACATGGCACAGCAGACCTCTCCTGACTCACCCACTGTTACCGCTAATAGTGTATTGTAGTAGAAACCTTTTCTGGAGGGGGGCTTTACCTATTTTTCTAAGTCAGTTAACTGCACTTTAAAAAATATTTTGTATCAACTTTAGTAACTACCATCAGAATAAAATATATTGAAAGAAAAAATAGCTAGTACCTATCTCATGGGTTTGTTGTAAAGATTAAATGAATTAATATTTACCTGGTACCTGATATATACTAATTGCTTAATTAATATTAATTATTATTTTTGCTATTCCAGCTTTTCACATTTAAATCCATACCATATTTTATACACCATCAAATGACATTTCACCTTGGAAAAATAAAAAACAGGTATATATGATCATTAAATTCAACTTTACAAGTGGATGAATTAAAAACCAAATGACATTCCCAAATCACTTCCCCTAGAAGTCATTTATAATTTATCAATTTGCTTCCAGAGATGTCTTTTTTTTTAAAGATTTATTTATGCATGCATATAAGAACTGGGGTACAGGCCAGAGGTGTATAGGGTGTGTGTGAGAGGATTCACCAAAGACAGAGTGGGGAATAGAACAAGAGGACTGAATGAAATACGTTGCTGAGAGGTGCAGCAGGCAAGTCAGGAGAGGTCTGCTGTGTCATGTGGGTCACTCCCCTGGGCTGGGGATTGAACTCGTGCGTCAGTGGCTGCAGATAGCTTCCTAGTGCTGATGCTTACCCCCTTGTGCCACCAGGGAGGCCCCAGATTTCTTATTAAAAGAGAAGTCTCTGGCTTTTATATCTATTTGTCCTCTTTCTCTGTTTCTCTATTTGTATTAGCTGATTCTGAGTTTTGAGCACTGTTTTCTCATGCAATTCTCAATGTTCCCACAAAGTGGCAGAGCGGGACCACAAAATGAACACCAGTGAAGATGAACTTTAAGAATGCCACGTCTGCTGCCACCTTACAGTCTTTTGCAGTCTAATATGAAATCCTTCCAGTTTGTGCTTATTTGAATTTACAGTTTCCTTGTGAAGAAATTTCATGCCCCTGAGTACTTCGTGTGTGTGTGTGTGTGTGTGTGTGTTGTTTTGTGTTTCAGGGCTTATTTGGCAGATTTACATACAAGTCAAGACTATTTGTTTAATACCATGCAATGAACACCCTGCTAAGATGGGGAACTTCAAATAAAGAATGTAGATTTTATGAATGTACAGTTGGGGTTGAGAGATAGAATATAACTAAGACCTGTAAATGTTAAACAAATACTAGCATTCTACAATTCTGCCTTTGAAAATGGATAAGCACTATGGTTGTTCCAGTTTGGTTCTATTATTCAGACGATAAAGAAAGAGAATATATAACCAGATGCTAAATTTTATGGCACAGCTCTAAGTACTTCCGTGGAAGATTAGTGATAACAATGATTCAAGGCTGATTTTTTTTTGGGGGGGGCAACACCTGTTACTTATGATTAAGTAAGGTGCAAAAGGAAGGAAGAAGTTTGATCTCTTTCATTCCTTTCATTAAAAAACAAAACCCAGAAACAACAAACAGAATTTTTCTAATTTCTGTGGATGTTTTACTCTACTCTCAACAAAAGTTACTTAGGGTAAAAACTGAGCATTGTAAACCTTTCCCAATGCTTAGAGTTTATGTATATTTATTATCTTCTTTTTTTTTTTAGATTTATTTATTTATTTATATAAGCACTGGATATAGTAAGAAGTGCAGGAGGGTAAGAAAATTTACCAGAGCCAGAGCAGGGAACAGAACAGGCAGACTGATGAAATACACTGCTGAGGGGGGCTGTGGGCGTGGCAGGAGAGGCCTGCGCACCATGTGGGACCCTCGCTGGTGGCTGGGGATAGAGCAGGCGCTACAGAGGCTATGGGCAGCTTCTCAGCCCAGCGCTCAACCACTGTGCCACCAGGGGAGGCCCTATTTTAAAAGCTAGTTTACATTTTAATGTACTCAACAAGCATTGGGGGAGTCGCTACTGTGTGCAAGGCATAGGGAACACAAACACAAATAAGAATAGGCCTGTTTTTCCATATTATATACACTGACAGTTGTATTTATTGTGATTTCTAAGGAACAGTACTCATTGTGGACTATACTCTGCCTATTCTTCTCTCTCTTGAGAGAACAAAAACATAAAGAATAATTTTCTTGAGTGTCTACAGTATCTGTGGCTTCTCGGAAGTTAGAATCTGTCCTCAGATCATAATTTTAATATTGGCAGGATCTTACCCTATACAAATGGCTTCCAAGTCCACATCCCCAGCTTTCAACACTTCTGAATTTCAGTCAAAACTCAAACCACTTAGTGGAACTGCATTTCGATATCCTACTCACCTCAGCTGAACTTAACCATAAGTGTCATCATCCATTCCAATCCCCCGGAGACTTCTTCAATGGTGAGTACAACTATTGTTGTGTTCAACCAGGGTCAAAACTTTGCAAATAACTTACACTACTCCTTCTTCCTTATATCTCACCATCAGTCATTAAAACCCATCAATTCTTACTTCACTACTTCTCTCATTTTAGACTTCTCATTTTGACTTCTTAAGTCATAACTCTAAGTTTAAAACTCTTACATTCTGTCTTTTACTGCCTCACCTGTAGGATTGGTTTGCTACATACACAGGCTTGTTTGGGACAGAAAGGAGCCCTTTGTTGACACTGGGATAGTTGTTTTGTGTGGAGCTAGGTTTTTAGAATAATAAAAAAATACACAATTTGCATGTTCTCAACAGCAGATATTCCAAATCTGCAAATATTCTTTTGTCTCTTCTATTCTTAGGAAGTTCACTGAATATTACTGTACCTTAGTTTATGTTTCTACTTATTCTTTAAAACCCAAGCAGAGGTATTGTTTGTTCAGACAGTCTCCTCTTCAACTCCCTGTTGAACTGTAGTATATTTTCCTGTCTTTGAGGATATCTACAGTGCTAAGATCTTTAGAGAGTCTCAGTCAGCTTTAAACAGATGACTACTTAATATCAGTACCACCATGTTGACAGAAGCATCTATTGGGAAGTCTGTCACATTAGTAAGTAGCTGACACATAAGATGCTGAAGACAATTCTTTTGACGAGGAACTATTCAACCATTCAACAAATAACTTCTGAGCACTTAATTTGTGCTCAGTACCATGCTTTCGACTAGTGATAAAATGGTAAATGAGGCGAGAAAAGTCCCTCTTAATGGATTTTATGATTTAGTAGGCAAGGCGGGGACCATAAGCAAATAGACGAATAGGTAAACAACCTAACCGTGCATTATATAATGTTATTTAGGAAATAACCAAGGATTGTAATTGGGTGGTTATGGAAGATTTCTCTGAGGAGATGACATTTATGGTGAGAATTGACTATAAAGAACCTAGACACATAATTCAAGGAAGAGATTTCTAAAAGGTAGACAAAAGCTGTAAAGACAGTAAGGGAAAAAGTGAAGCTAGCTAGATGAATTGAGGAGATGGGTAGAGTCCAAATTATGTTGAGAGAACAAGGTATGAAGATTATTCATGATGGAACTCTTAAATGACATGGGAAGACCTGATGGGTTTTAGGAAATGAATTTTTTTTTGAAAGCTCATTCTGGCAGTTGTGAAGGTGGGGGCAGTGAGGTAAAAGACACAGACCATTTAGTATGTAAGTGTGGTAAATGTCTTCTCTTTACTTCTACAGATCCACCTTTTATTCTGGCCTAGGTGATTAATCCGTATGGATTACTTCAACAGGGTTCTCATGCCTCTGGCTGCAGTAAGATTTGACCAAAATCGAGCAGGAGATCAGAGAAGGAGAGAGGTTGAGCTAATCCTTCACTTGGATTCTTTCTTCCAAGGGCTGTGTTCTGCAATTAAGATTCTTGCTTCTGGGCCTCCCTGGTGGCATGAGCACATAGGCCCACAGCACCATGAAGCCATCCGCAGCCACTGCAGCATGAGTTCGATCCCTGGCCAGTGAGGGAACCCATGTGACACAGCAGACCTCTCCTGTCTTGCCCTCCGCTCCCCTCAGCAGTGTATTTCAGTAGCTCCGCCTGTTCTTTTTCCCACTCTGTTTCTGGTGAAACCTTTCCCCTTCCCCCACACCTCTGGCCTATACCTCAGGTCTTGTATGCATGATAAATAAATCTCTAAAAAAAAAAAAAAGATCCTTGCTTCTCTCAAGCTGGATTATGTTCTATGATTCTCTCTCATCTCAGAATCTGATAATATTTTCTCCTCCTCATCCTTTTGAGGATGATAACAGCTTTCATGCTGCCAGCCTAGATTCCTGCAATCCCTGTTTCCTACACTTTTTGCAATTATTTGAAGACAAACCTTGACGCTCTAGATCACAAGGCTTGGGAAAATTCTCAGACAAAACACTCTTCAGGATTCCTTCTTTTAGTTTGTTTTTGGTTTCTGTAGTTTCTACACTTTCTTGACATCTTAGCAACACATGTAACATGGTTTTCGTCATGTATTTACGTAGCCATTGTAGTCACTTCATTGGAGAATCCTAAAGTCTAATCAACAAACTTGCCCTCCATTTATTTTTGTAAAATACCCAGAACATCCTGATCATGGGGTGGTCACATGACACAGTCTGAGACAATCTTAGCCTCCAATCTCTCTGGACCTATGATTGATCCAGGCTAAACATGTGCCCTAAATGAGAGGGGAGGGGATCCGGGACGTTCTAACTAGAGCCAATAGGGAAGAGGGTTTTTTTCATCCTCTTAGTCCTGAGTTGTGAATCATTCACTGAGTTGTGAATCATCAATCAAGTGCATTGATGAAGTCAGGTTTATGGTTCCAATTGTTGAAATTCTCAGGAGTTGCATGAGTTTCTGCAGCTCTTCCTTTGATTTTGTGTGAAAAACTCTACTCTCTGTCCAGTAAATTGCTTAAGTTAGTCTGGGTGGGCACTGTATGGAGCCAGGGTCTCATACTGTGGGATACGAGGAGACAGCTTTAGAGTCACTTTTTCCATTATGATCCTGTTGCAGACTGGCAGCTTGTGAAAATAACCATTTGTTAGTTCCTGTAATCCCAAAGGAAGACTACTTGAGAGCATGGCTCTGAGGCAAGGATTTAGGATCAATCTACAGCAGGCTCCTGGTTCAGAAACAGAATCAAAAGTTGCTGAGATGAGATTGTCTTTTCTGTGTAGTCAAAGACGAAATAAAAGCTGCAGTCCCTAAATCTGCCAGTCCGGAACATTCACTGGCATGTTTTTCATACAAATCAACAGTCAGGAAAAATCAATGTTCTTATACTTTCTTTTACATTTCCATTTGTCTAAAATCTATCAGGTAAGATACTGTGAAGTATGATTGAACATTAAACTTATTTTAGAAAAGCTAATATGAGGTATTAATTTCATTTTTTTGCAATTAGATAAAACCTACCTATTTTACAAAACCTTTTTATCAAAAAGAAATGAGAAGCATATTACATTGGTATTCATGTTCCTTTCACTTTTAAAACCTGTTGGATTTGAAGTCTTAAGCAGTTGATAAAACTGAGTCACAACACTATAATCAAGTTACTTACCTGACTTCCTTGTGATGTCAAGATGTTTCTCTTGTGTTGCTAGTGTCACTTGAAGTGGAGTCACTAGGTGGGGATGGAGATGTGTAGCACTTTATTCTCCCTAATTAACAAGCTCCATTTCCCAACAGTTTCATGAGAGACCTAGTAAACTCTCAAGAGCAGTCAAAATGTCCATTGGCATCATTATTGGTGGGTTTCTGAACTCCAACCTGGCAAAACACATCAAATGATCTATGAGCATAACTGGAAAACACCCTATACCACTCTTTCAAAGACCTATAGGATCAAGTGAAATGAAAAAGCCAGTTCTTAGTCTGGGATATTATCAAAGGGTGTAGGTATGTGAAGAGTACTAATATTCTCTTCACTCTTGGCTCTTGAACTTTCTATTCTTCCCCAGATGCACTGGTTACCTATTGCTGCTGTAACAAATTGCCACAAATTTAGTGGCTTCAAACAACACATAAATCAGAAGTGCATCTTACTGAACTAAAGTCAACATGTCAGCCAAATTGCATTCCTTTTGGAGTCTCTAGGGGAGATTCTCTTTCCCTTCCTTATTCAACTTCTAGAGGCCCATTGCATTCCTTGATTCCTGTTCTCTCCTGTCATTTTCAAATCAGCAACTGCAACATTCTGACTTCTGCTTTTGTCATCACATCATTCTCTGAATTGGAAAACAGTCGTCTGACTTCCTCATTCATTTTTAAGGAATTTTATGATTATTTCAGACCCAACCAGATAATCTGGGATAATCTTCTGATCTCAAGTTCATCTGATTAACAGCATTCATTCCAAGGCAACCTCTAGTTTCCTTTTTCATGTAATCTACTATGTTCTCAAGCTCTGGGGATTAGGAAAAACAGATGGAATGTTTGTGTGTGTGCACTGTTTTTTTGAACACACTATCTTTCCATTAAACCATTACAAAAGAAAGGCACTTTTTTATTTTTTTATTTTTTTTAAAGATTTATTTATTTATGCATACAAGAACTGGGGTACAGGCCAGAGGTGTGGAGGGTGAGAGGACTCACCAGAGACAGAGTAGGGAACAGAACAGGCAGACTGACTGAAATACACTGCTGAGGGGAGCAGTGGGCGAGTCAGGAGAGGTCTGCCGTGCCATGTGGGTAGCTCCCTGGCCGGGAATCGAACCTGCACTATAGAGGCTGCGGACAGCTTCACAGTGTTGTGCTCAATCTGCTGTGCCACTGAGGAGACCCGAAACTACATAAATTTTAATGGTACATGTTAGTAAATATTGTGAAAGGGAGGATGGAGACAATTACAAGAAACCTGCAGGGGCATCCCAAATGGGCAAGAAAAAATCCTATGTTGCCAGGAAGAATCTCAGGTGAATTTCTTCTCAGTGTTATCAAGATACAATTAACATACAGAACTGTGTAAGTTTAAGGTACACAGCGTAGTGACTTGACTAACATGTATTGTGAAACAACAATCATAGTAAGTTTAGTTAACATCCATCTTTCTGGGGAAAAAAAAGAAAAAGAAAACAATTTTTCCTTGAAATGAGAACTCTTATGATTTACTATCTCAACAACTTACAAATACACTATACAGTAGTATTAACTATAGTTATTATGTTGTACATTACATTCCAGTACTCATTTATCTTATAACTAGAAATTTGTACTTTTTGACAACTAGGTGGGTTGTAATGACACTAAATTGTGAAGAGCTCTAAGGGTCTTCATCTGAGACCACAGACCTAAAGCACATAAATCAACAAGTAGGCTATATCAGGAGAACAGAAGATCAGTGGAGACAGGAACATTGATGCAAGGATCCCAGGGCACAGAGATAACTATTATGTGGACCAGAACTTCGGCAAACTTCTCTATGTTATACACCTCAAAAACTTATGTATAGAATATATGCAGATTAAAGCTTTTCCAACTACAAATTAAAAATATTAAATTTATTTAATATTTATTTTTCAAGCATCAACTTGGTTAGAAGGCAGAAGACAGCAGAAATGACACTGGAGCTGGATAAGGTATACTGTACCCCATACTGAAAACTAAAACCATGAACTGCTATTCACCTTGGGGTGTACTATAGGAAAACAACTATCTACTAACGTGGGTTGTCTCCTCCTTTCTTGTTTACTCACCTTAGGAGAAATTCAAAATTTATATTGATGAAAATGGTATCTGTATCTACTAAAATTACTTTTATTCACTTTGAAAAGTACCTTTATTCTGCAGGAAATCTCATAACATTTATTAATCCTCCCACACTGTTGTCATAAAAGACAAACCTGAGATGAGCTTTTTTGTTTTGATTTTTTTTTTGCTTTGAGTTTACATTTGAAAGAATATGCTGCTGGAAGAGAGGTTTTAAGAATTTACAATGAACTCACTGAGTTATTTACTGCTGAACTTTTCCTTCTCTCTCACCAAGGGAGCACATTTATTAGGCTCCCTCTCTGCATTTACATTTCTGAGAAGTCTTCAGAAATGGAAGGAAGTGGGGAATGAGATACATTCTTACTCCACAGTCAGAAACACTTCTTTTTTTTAATAACTTATAATATCAGTGGGATAGCTGAATCAAATGTATTTCTGGGTAGAGATTATGTCAGTTTAGACCATTTTTTCAAACTGTGATCAATCCATTTTCATGTTGCTCTTACAGCAGGATGGAGTTTATATTTCAAAGTCTCTGAAAACACAGGTTACAAATTTTCTAGTTTTAGACGAGTGGGAAAACTCTGATGTTTTTGAAGTGAAAATTACCAGTCAAAGAAGTGAGGTTGAGTAAGTATGCCAGAAAAGAATTATATCCTAGCACCATACTTAGAAAAAAAGGAGGAAAAGCACAAACCAAGATCCTGGAAGTCAATTAATACATGTTATTAATTTCAAGCTTCTATAGTAATTTTACCCAGTCTCTCTAGGGCCTTAGGAAAAGGTAAGACACTCAGTGCAAAATTATCAGTAGGTTTTATAATTGTCTGTTTTTGCTTTGTTGTGTTTTGTACTGTTATTATTTTTTTACACTGATGTCTTATTTGGTTCCCCTATATTCCTGCTATAAGTGAAACCATCTGATATTTTTTTTTCCTTCCTGCTTATTTCACTGAGCATAATTCCTTCTAGCTCCATCCACGTTGCCGTGAATGGCATGAGTTTATCTTTTTTGATTGCTGAATAATATTATAAATCAGAGACATCCTTCAGGGAAGGAGGAGGGAGAGGGATCAGAGGGAGGAGCACAGGGGACTGTGGTGATGGTGCACAGGTGCACTGGTGAAGGAAACGCTACAGGGACTATACCTGAGGGGGTGGGGGGAAGCAAATATTGTTTAAAAATGAACAATGTTTTAAAAAATGCAACAAAATCATATTATGGGATAACTTGCTGTCACACAGATTTGAAGAACAGTTTGAAATATATAATTCATTTATTTCCCAAGTTTAAGTACTTGGGTCCCAATGCAATTAGCCTAAGCAATAAATTATCAGAAGTACATAAACAATCACCTCCTCATACAGTTTTTTTTTAAAGCAGGGTTTCACAAACTTGGCACTATAGATATTTGGATCCAGATGATGCTATGGTGTTGAGGGCTGTGCTATGTATTGTAAGATATTTAGCTGTATCCCTGAACTACACCCAGTGAAAGCCAGCATCATGCCTCCAGTTGTGAAAACTAATAATGCCCTAATACATTGCTCTAAGTCTCCAGAGGAGCAAAATCACCCCTAATTCAGAACCACTGATGGAAAGTCATTTGAAATTTTGGATCACTTCTTCCTCAGGATCATCAGCTCTACTGTTCCTCTTCTTTTCTCTAGATGAATTGGCAGTGAGTTATCTTGTAGTTTATATAAAATACGGACATTTATGCAAAATGGGTTCCGAGACTTACACGAAGGCCTATTCTTCACCCAATGGTAATTTCACCAGGTAAAACACCTTCTAGATTGATGGTCAAATTGCTTCAATCACAAATGGTGCAGTGTTTCTTTCCTTTTCTCATACAAGCTCACCTTTTCCGTCATGATAATCAAGAAAGCCTTTCTCCCACTTGTGCCTGCTGAGAACTGTGGAAACTCCCTGCAAATCACACCTCACAGTACTTCTCAGGCCAACCCTGCCTGGTTTGTCTTATTACATTCAGTAATATTCACATTTTCTTGGGAGACACTTTTTTAGTAAAAGGCCTCTTAGACACATACTACAAAAAGCAGTTTAGGTTTTTATTTTCCTCGGCTAAGGGCTTTTTAAGAAATATCTGTGTCTTTTTTTTCTCCTCTACTGTATAAATTCTGATTTAGCATAAAATAGTTTTTAAATACTCTCAAGTCATCCAAGCCTTGTAAAAAAACCTTTTAAGCTATCCTTTTGTTTTAAAATTTTCAGTTTTATAGGGATGTTGTTGACATGTGATACTGTGTTAAGCACATTTAGCATAATGATTTGATATATGTATATAGTGTGTGAAATGATTACTGCAGTAAGTTTAATTAACATCTGTTATCTCACATAGCTACATTTTTATTCCTTGAGATGAGAACTTTAAAGAGATACTCTCTTAGCAACCTTCAAATATGCAATAAAGCACTGTAATTATAATAACCACGTTATCCATTACATAAATATCTTATAACTGGAAATATATGTCTTTTGAACACCTTCACCCCATCCCTGCCTCTGACAACTACCAATCTGTTCTCTATTTCTTTCTTTTTTTTTTTTTTTTAAGATTTATTTATTTATACAAGAACCGGGCACAGGCCAGATGTGTGGGAGGGTGAGAAGATTCACCAGAGACAGAGCAGGGAACAGAACAGGCAGACCGACTGAAATACACTGCTGAGGGAAGCAGTGGGAGAGACAGGAGGTCTGCCGCGTCATGTAGGTATCCTCACCGGCCAGCCGGGCTTGAACCTGCATAGCAGAGGCTGCGGACAGCTTCACAGCGCTGTGCTCAACTGCCTGCGCCACCAGGGAGGCACTCTATTTCTTTTCAAAAAATTTTTTACCCAAGATTTATTTATTTATTTATACAAGCATTGGGTACAGTCAGAAATGTGGGAGGGTGAGAGAATTGACCAGAGCCAGAGCAGGGAACAGAACAGACCGTGTGATAAAATACACTGCTGAGGGGAGCAGAGGGCACGGCAGGCGAGGTCTGTCGCAGGCGAGGTCTGTCGCGCCATTGCCGATGGCTGGGGATCAA